TTTTTTACAAAATTGATGACCAGCATTTATATGTACCATAAAAAACCATGAAACTCTTCCTTGAGAAGTTTTCTTCTATGATAGTTTTTGAGATAGCCTTTGTAGCTGAAATTTTATATGAAAACGATATAAAATATATCTTATTTTTCGGTTCTTTAAAACGTATCCAAAATTCAGAACAATCGGAGGTGGACACCTAAGAAACCTTCCAAAAAGAATGAATGAATTTTCAGCAACGAATAACCATAACTCAAAGTGTCAAACACTGTTTACTAAATTATGATTACTTTAAAAATAATGTTATAAACAAATTATTTTTTACAAAATTGATGACCAGCATTTATATGTACCATAAAAAACCATGAAACTCTTCCTTGAGAAGTTTTCTTCCAACTATGATAGTTTTTGAGATAGCCTTTGTAGGTGAAATTTTATATGAAAACGATATAAAAAATATATCTTATTTTTCGGTTCTTTAAAACGTATCCAAAATTCAGAACAATCGGAGGTGGACACCTAAGAAACCTTCCAAAAAGAATGAATGAATTTTCAGCAACGAATAACCATAACTCAAAGTGTCAAACACTGTTTACTAAATTATGATTTCTTTAAAATAATATTATAAACAAATTATTTTTTACAAAATTGATGACCAGCATTTATATGTACCATAAAAAACCATGAAACTCTTCCTTGAGAAGTTTTCTTCTATGATAGTTTTTGAGATAGCCTTTGTAGCTGAAATTTTATATGAAAACGATATAAAATATATCTTATTTTTCGGTTCTTTAAAACGTATCCAAAATTCAGAACAATCGGAGGTGGACACCTAAGAAACCTTCCAAAAAGAATGAATGAATTTTCAGCAACGAATAACCATAACTCAAAGTGTCAAACACTGTTTACTAAATTATGATTACTTTAAAAATAATGTTATAAACAAATTATTTTTTACAAAATTGATGACCAGCATTTACATGTATATAAAAAACCATGAAACTCTTCCTTGAGAAGTTTTCTTCCAACTATGATAGTTTTTGAGATAGCCTTTGTAGGTGTAACTTTATATGAAAACGATATAAAAAAATATCTTATTTTTCGGTTCTTTAAAACGTATCCAAAATTCAGAACAATCGGAGGTGGACACCTAAGAAACCTTCCAAAAAGAATGAATGAATTTTCAGCAACGAATAACCATAACTCAAAGTGTCAAACACTGTTTACTAAATTATGATTACTTTAAAAATAATGTTATAAACAAATTATTTTTTACAAAATTGATGACCAGCATTTACATGTATATAAAAAACCATGAAACTCTTCCTTGAGAAGTTTTCTTCCAACTATGATAGTTTTTGAGATAGCCTTTGTAGGTGTAACTTTATATGAAAACGATATAAAAAATATCTTATTTTTCGGTTCTTTAAAACGTATCCAAAATTCAGAACAATCGGAGGTGGACACCTAAGAAACCTTCCAAAAAGAATGAATGAATTTTCAGCAACGAATAACCATAACTCAAAGTGTCAAACACTGTTTACTAAATTATGATTTCTTTTAAAATAATATTATAAACAAATTATTTTTTACAAAATTGATGACCAGCATTTATATGTACCATAAAAAACCATGAAACTCTTCCTTGAGAAGTTTTCTTCTATGATAGTTTTTGAGATAGCCTTTGTAGCTGAAATTTTATATGAAAACGATATAAAATATATCTTATTTTTCGGTTCTTTAAAACGTATCCAAAATTCAGAACAATCGGAGGTGGACACCTAAGAAACCTTCCAAAAAGAATGAATGAATTTTCAGCAACGAATAACCATAACTCAAAGTGTCAAACACTGTTTACTAAATTATGATTACTTTAAAAATAATGTTATAAACAAATTATTTTTTACAAAATTGATGACCAGCATTTATATGTACCATAAAAAACCATGAAACTCTTCCTTGAGAAGTTTTCTTCTACTATGATAGTTTTTGAGATAGCCTTTGTAGCTGAAATTTTATATGAAAACGATATAAAAATATATCTTATTTTTCGGTCCTTTAAAACGTATCCAAAATTCAGAACAATCGGAGGTGGACACCTAAGAAACCTTCCAAAAAGAATGAATGAATTTTCAGCAACGAATAACCATAACTCAAAGTGTCAAACACTGTTTACTAAATTATGATTACTTTAAAAATAATGTTATAAACAAATTATTTTTTACAAAATTGATGACCAGCATTTATATGTGCATAAAAAACCATGAAACTCTTCCTTGAGAAGTTTTCTTCTAACTATGATAGTTTTCGAGATAGCCTTTGTAGCTGAAATTTTATATAAAAATGATATAAAAAAGTACGTACATCTTATTTTTCAGTTCTTTAAAACGTATCCAAAATTCAGAACAATCGGAGGTGGACACCTAAGAAACCTTCCAAAAAGAATGAATGAATTTTCAGCAACGAATAACCATAACTCAAAGTGTCAAACACTGTTTACTAAATTATGATTTCTTTAAAAATAATGTTATAAACAAATTATTTTTTACAAAATTGATGACCAGCATTTATATGTGCATAAAAAACCATGAAACTCTTCCTTGAGAAGTTTTCTTCCAACTATGATAGTTTTTGAGATAGCCTTTGTAGGTGAAACTTTATATGAAAACGATATAAAAAAATATCTTATTTTTCGGTTCTTTAAAACGTATCCAAAATTCAGAACAATCGGAGGTGGACACCTAAGAAACCTTCCAAAAAGAATGAATGAATTTTCAGCAACGAATAACCATAACTCAAAGTGTCAAACACTGTTTACTAAATTATGATTTCTTTTAAAATAATATTATAAACAAATTATTTTTTACAAAATTGATGACCAGCATTTACATGTATATAAAAAACCATGAAACTCTTCCTTGAGAAGTTTTCTTCCAACTATGATAGTTTTTGAGATAGCCTTTGTAGGTGAAACTTTATATGAAAACGATATAAAAAAATATCTTATTTTTCGGTTCTTTAAAACGTATCCAAAATTCAGAACAATCGGAGGTGGACACCTAAGAAACCTTCCAAAAAGAATGAATGAATTTTCAGCAACGAATAACCATAACTCAAAGTGTCAAACACTGTTTACTAAATTATGATTACTTTAAAAATAATGTTATAAACAAATTATTTTTTACAAAATTGATGACCAGCATTTACATGTATATAAAAAACCATGAAACTCTTCCTTGAGAAGTTTTCTTCCAACTATGATAGTTTTTGAGATAGCCTTTGTAGGTGTAACTTTATATGAAAACGATATAAAAAAATATCTTATTTTTCGGTTCTTTAAAACGTATCCAAAATTCAGAACAATCGGAGGTGGACACCTAAGAAACCTTCCAAAAAGAATGAATGAATTTTCAGCAACGAATAACCATAACTCAAAGTGTCAAACACTGTTTACTAAATTATGATTTCTTTTAAAATAATATTATAAACAAATTATTTTTTACAAAATTGATGACCAGCATTTACATGTATATAAAAAACCATGAAACTCTTCCTTGAGAAGTTTTCTTCCAACTATGATAGTTTTTGAGATAGCCTTTGTAGGTGTAACTTTATATGAAAACGATATAAAAAAATATCTTATTTTTCGGTTCTTTAAAACGTATCCAAAATTCAGAACAATCGGAGGTGGACACCTAAGAAACCTTCCAAGAAGAATGAATGAATTTTCAGCAACGAATAACCATAACTCAAAGTGTCAAACACTGTTTACTAAATTATGATTACTTTAAAAATAATGTTATAAACAAATTATTTTTTACAAAATTGATGACCAGCATTTATATGTGCATAAAAAACCATGAAACTCTTCCTTGAGAAGTTTTCTTCCAACTATGATAGTTTTTGAGATAGCCTTTGTAGCTGAAATTTTATATAAAAATGATATAAAAAAGTACGTACATCTTATTTTTCAGTTCTTTAAAACGTATCCAAAATTCAGAACAATCGGAGGCGAACACCTAAACAACTTTGTAAGAAGAATGAATGAATTTTTAGCAACGAATAGCCATAACTCAGAGTGTCGAACACTGTTTCATCATTATTGATTTATCCTTATATTGGCACGTGTAGACCTCCCAAAAAGACTGTCCACGTGTACGTGGACGCTATCTATGCAAATTACCACGTGTACGGAAACTTAGAACAATTTGAACGCCTAAAATCTAATGTCTCTAATGGATCGCAAGTGTGAATTCGAGTACTTACAAGGCTCCGTGTAACAGTTACCTATTAACACCTGCTGTCAAATGTTTTCTCACGGAACACTTTGCATAAAACGACGGGATACGTCGCTCCTGATCGAGCAAGCGCGAGAATTTGCAACATTTCATCGAACACCGATTCCTCGAAACAATCGAATATCGCGTTCTCGAATATCGTGTGGGAATCCTGAGCAAGAATCAGAGCTGTAGACTCTACGAGCTGTTGATCAACACGTTGACTGTCGGTCTAAAATCCTAAAATTGTTTACGGGACCAAAACTTTCATTTCAGGCAATTGTAAAGTACAGAACTTAAAAGTTGTCGTAGTAGTTGCTTTCGTAACCTTAAAATTTACGTTAAAATTTACGAAGCCTATTAAAATTGATTTTCTTTAACATTTCAACTTGAGAATTGATTATTGCTAGACTGCGGATCTTTATGCAAATTCATATTTTTATTAATAGAATTAATAAAATGGGAGCTTTGTAGATTATTGTCTCAACCCCTAAGTATAATAATTCGTATCTTACTTTAAGTGTTTCTTATATTTTTGCATATTAAATGCATTCTGTAGTTTGTTGAGGTTTAAAATTTCCCATAAATGCATAAACATCCGCAGTCTGATTATTAGAGTTCTACTGTTAAAAGTTCTGTCACCCATATATGGCTGACGTGGCAGTCAAAGTGTTAAACGACCTCGACGTCGTGCACGAATATTCTGAATTTAGGTGTTCCTTTCAGATTCAACCAGACACGGTTGACGCGTACTTGAAGCAATGGATGATGAAGTAATTAGTGGGAACCAAAACAATAAGAGATCACCGATGACGCTGAACGTCAGCGGACTGTGGGACGTTGTTCCTCGTTTGGATCACTACAGGTAAAAAATCATTTCTCACGCTCTTTACAACCGCCAAAAACGTTCTATAAAAAGTCGATGCACAGTTTCGGAAGATAAATAAAATTGAACGAGATTAAAAGGAGACTAAAAAGCACATTTTGCGAGAACAAACTGTTTAGTGCAGCTTCAGAACTAACGAAACTCTCTCTCTCTCTCTCTCTCCCTCTCTTAGCTAAACATACAACACAGATTTACACCCATCCACAAAAGATCCGTTTACGAGTTTTTCGAACTCTACACAACCGTGACACATGATGTACCACACATGTTGGCCGCGGTTTCCCAGCGACGTGGTCTTAATTTGAAACTTTCAAACCACGATTCGTAAAGATATCGAACAGTAAAAGAGATAATTGTAACCACAGATTCCGATGGGATGGTTAGTTCGTATTTTATTGGCGGCTGAAAGTTGCACGAGAAATTGTTAACCCTTTGCGCTCTTATTTCGAGTCTCGATATCAGTTTTTATCTGAGGATCTCCTTTGTCGAGTCTCACATTTTTCCAAGTTCGAGCCAAAGAGATATACTACATTTGGAAATTGCAAAATACAACAATAGTGGAAATAAAACAGATATTTAATTCAATTTATTTGTTCCTCTATTTTTTAGTTAACGTAAATTTTCCAAGTTCGAACCAAAAAGATATGCTGCATTTGAAAATTGCAAAATACAACAATAACGTAAATAAAACAGATATTTCATTGAATTTATTTTGTTTAAAATGACCTATTAAAATCACCTATTTTTTAGTTAACGTAAATTTTCCAAGTTCGAACCAAAGAGATATCCTACATTTGAAAATTGCAAAATACAACAATAGTGGAAATAAAACAGATATTTCATTGAATTTATTTGTTCCTCTATATTGTTTAAACTCACCTATTTTTTAGTGAACTTAAATTTCAAATAAAACACTTGAAAGCATTGTGAGCTGCTGGTAACAAAATTGAAATATAATTTGGGGTGCAAAGGGTTAACACTCAAGATGTTTAATTGAATTTATTTGTTTCTCTATATTGTTTAAACTTAGCTATTTTTTAGTTAACGTAAATTTTCCAAGTTCGAACCAAAAAGATATGCTGCATTTGAAAATTGCAAAATACAACAATAACGTAAATAAAACAGATATTTCATTGAATTTATTTTGTTTAAAATGACCTATTAAAATCACCTATTTTTTAGTTAACGTAAATTTTCCAAGTTCGAACCAAAGAGATATCCTACATTTGAAAATTGCAAAATACAACAATAGTGGAAATAAAACAGATATTTCATTGAATTTATTTGTTCCTCTATATTGTTTAAACTCACCTATTTTTTAGTGAACTTAAATTTCAAATAAAACACTTGAAAGCATTGTGAGCTGCTGGTAACAAAATTGAAATATAATTTGGGGTGCAAAGGGTTAACACTCAAGATGTTTAATTGAATTTATTTGTTCCTCTATTTGTTTAAGATCTCCTATTTTTTAGTTAACATAAATTTTCCAAGTTCGAACCAAAGAGATATCCTACATTTGAAAATTGCAAAATACAATAATAATGTAAATAAAACAGATATTTAATTGAATTCATTTGTTTAAAATGACCTATTAAAATCACCTATTTTTTAGTTAACGTAAATTTTCCAAGTTCGAACCAAAGAGATATCTTGCATTTGAAAATTGCAAAATACAACAATAACATAAATAAAACAGATATTTAATTGAATTTATTTGTATAAACTCTCCTATTTTTCAGTTAACGTAAATTTCAAATAAAACAACACTTGATAGCGTTGTGAGCTGCTGTTAACAAAATTGAAATATAATTTGGAGCGCAAAGGATTAACACTCGAGATATTTAATTGAATTTATTTGTTCCTCTATTTGTTTAAACTCTCCTGTTTTTCATTTTTATTTCAGGAACTCCTTTGTCCCAATCGACATTTTTTCAAGTCCAAGCCAAAGAGATATACACTTGAAAATTTACAAAATACAATAATTTTTAATCAACGTAAATTTCAAATAAAACACTTAAAAGCATTGGGAGCAGCTGGTAACAAGATTTAAATATATTTTCAAGTCCAAGCCATAGAGATATACACTTGAAAATTTACAAAATACAATAATTTTTAATCAACGTAAATTTCAAATAGAACACTTAAAAGCTTTGGGGAGCTGCTGTTAACAGAATTGAAATATAATTTGTAGTGCAAAGGGTTAACAGTTGATATGGAACGTCCCTGTTCTCGCGAGAAACGATCCCTTTCGCCATTAACGGCCTTTCCCAGCCCGTTCCTCGGTTTATCCTAATTTAATTAACTTCATTCCCCCCCCCCGCTAATAACATTACAGCAAGTGACAAGAACGTCTTTGTTTGTAGATTGAGTCGACGCGCTAAGAGGCCATCGTTGAGCACCCTGCACGAAGGAAATCTTATAAAGGTAAAATTGCCACATCCTACGGTCATTCGTACCACCACCCTCGGTCGCGATACCCTTGAACGCATTGAAAAGTCGATACTTTTCCCAAACAATTACTTATCGTAATTGCCAGGCGTCCGCGTTCGCCCCAGAAGAACGACTGGTCGATCGACTCTTAAGTTTACCGAAAATGTAACCATTCTCAAAGTCTGACAGAAGAATATTGTCGAATGGAAATCTCAAAATGGTTTCTGCTCGTGCATTATAACGGATTATCAATTTCCTGGCGAGCTATCGCTGTTCACATCCGAGAATCGAAGAAATAATTTAACTAACGAAGCAAAAGTGAAAAGTTATTATGCGTAATTCAAATTGAGCAATCGAGAAGCTTCATCGAATACGGACACTCGTACACAATTCCTCGTCAAGCGAGGTATTTTTCAGCCATAAGTGAAATTAACTAATGTAATTGCTGTTTCCCAAAGGTCCTCAGAGCTTGATCGATATCTCTCGACGAACATCGCCACATTTGCGCGAAATATTCCCGGCTTCGAAGGGATGGTTTTCGTCTCGTAATGATAAGATTTCGCTTTAAAGTCGAGCATCGTTCCTCGTAAGAATGAAATTTTTCACGTGACGTAATTATCGATCGTCGAACGACAGCATTTGCGTCAGTACGAGCATCGATTCATCAGCACAATCTGGTTGTCATTTGGCCGCGATGTGCAAACTACGATGTTTGCAACGATTAAATCGACAGCAAATGTTTGAACGTCGAGATTACACGCGGCGTGTATGGGCATACAATTTCTAAAAGGTTTGCACATGCACGGAACAATCGTGTCGTTTGTTCGAAATGGTAACTTAACGCTGGAACTACCAAACCAGTCGAAATGATCGTAATTTCTAATAGAACTTGTAAAAAATTTATCGTAATTTTCTCTAAGAGAATACAGGGTGGTCCACGCAATTGTTACAAGTCATAACTCCGTTATTATTGCATTTCCGAAAAAATGCCAAAGGAAGAAGATAAATGGTTCGAAGGGCACTGCATCCGTAGGCCTTTAATTTTTTTTTAGATGCAGCGGTGCATGTGCAATTAACAATTGCATCATTTGTTTCAACGGAAATGCATATTTTTTTTTACACGGGTCGATTCTTCTGCTCGTTCTGCGTAAAAAATGATTAGGGTACCATGGCAAAAAAATTGTTAGATCTCGAGATATTTAAAGAAAATGTCTTTATTGAAGAAGATGCTCAAACTAACTATATTTCTTCGCGTATCTATCGTTTCAATTTCTTTGGTACAAATAAACGCACTATAATTGTCGGTAGTTCTAGCGTTGACCCTTTGCACTCCTTGAAAATTACAAAATACAATAATAGTGGAAATGAAACAGTATTTAATTGAATTTATTTGTTCCTCTGTTTGTTTAAATTGCCTAATATTTTAGTTAACGTACATTTCAAATAAAACACTTGAAAGCGTTGGGAGCTGCTGATAACAAAATTGAAATATAATTCGAAGTGCAAAGGGTTAAATTTCTGAGTACGTTTAGAGAGAATTTGAACGTTTCTAAAAAGTATGAATTAAAATAAAATTTCGAATTTTTTAGTAATCGAGAGCTTCTAAAATGAATACACTAAACTCCATCGCTGTCGACGATACGATTCGTTTTAATTGCGCGTAATTTTAGGCGGCGATTTGAATGAAACCTCGTAAGCATATAGATAGAAAATCCAAAAATATTGGACTTCCCCCGCGGGGCCGTTAACGTAGATACTGACTAGATTACGAGATATTTAAAAATAAAAATCACGTTTCGCGCGCCAATGCGTTAAGTATCCTTGATTTCACACTTCTTCTAAGTAAACAGTGGCTAAGTATAAAGCGGTTCATACATGATCGAGGTTTATGGGAAGCTTACACGCTGGTTGTACCGCCCTTCTCGTGAAAAAGGTCGCGGGAAAGTGGCAAACAAGCAGTAAACTTGTAGAAGCCACCTTAAGGGTGTCTTCTAAGAAAAAAGAACGAAATTCGAAAGACTTCGTCTCCTTTAAACTTGTATAACTCAGGAAATATTTAAAAGAAAAGGGATATCTTTGTTTACTGTGATTACCTATATAGTATTAATGCAACTAGTGCAATAAACGCCAATTATATGGATTGACAAATGAAAATTTGTCACGAACCACGTAAAGCCTTGCCCGCTGAGGGGTAACTGACCACGTTCACGCTACCCCTTCTCCTTTTCAACGCGTGTAACGGTCATGCGCTCTGAGACGCTCGAGACTGCGCGCCAGAGATGCGCAGAATCATTCTTCGACGAACCTTCAAGCGACTCCGACCTTCTGAAACGTCTAACCTTGACACGATTAACTTGTACGATACAGAGACACTACAAATTGCTATAAAATTACAATTCTTTAACTTCGTTGTATATACAGAGCACAGAATGTTTTTTCTTTGATTTCTAAGAATGGAAATAAATATCAAATACGTTTCCATCTTATCCTCGTCCACGATTTATTGTTTAAAAATTGTAAATGTTGTTCAAATTTCAGGACCCCAATATAGAGGCTGGTCAGATTGGAACATCCCAGCAGAAGCACACGGGGATAAAGTTAGGATGGATCCAAGGTGTCTTGATACCATGCCTCCTCAATATATGGGGTGTAATGCTTTTCCTGCGACTGTCCTGGGTGGTGGCCCAGGCGGGCATATTGCACAGCGTCATCATTATCGGAATATCCGCGGCAGTCTGCGTCATCACGACGCTTAGCCTCAGCGCAATTAGTACTAATGGGGAAGTAAAGGGAGGTGTGTTACGGGGCTCCCATTTTCTCGTTCTTTTTTCTCAGAGGTGTGGCACTATGTACCTTGTTGATACTGCGCGTTGCACGTTGGAAATTGTTTTTCCAAGAAAAGGAACGTTGTCCCCAGAAACAACGACGCGAAGCTTCGTTTGCAACGTCTTTTAAAGAAATTTATTGTTCACTTTTGGCGATTCTTGCCATTTTAGATTCTTGCAATTTCCAATGTATTAATTATTTTTGGCTCCAATCTTTATGAAATTATCCTCACATCGAAGAGGTCCATAAATTGTTGCGCAATGGTATCAAACATGGATACATTTGCCATCAAAATGAAATTATTAAATCCACTGTTATTTTGATACAAGTGAATGGTAGCGAAATTAGTGTTATTATAGGCCCGAATTAACCCCTTAACGCTGACTGCTTTGAAAAACAATATTTCTTTAATCCAACGGTTTAAGGGATGGCAATAAAAAATATTTGTTTTCCTTCAAATCACGTGTATGTCAGATGCAACATTGTAATAAGAGAAACTTTTTATATAGCTCAGAAACAAATCCAATAATGAAAACAGATCGTTCTCGGTTAACCCGAAAAATATGAGCGGTTAAGGAGTTCGAGGCCTTCTAATTCGCACCTGTACACATCCAAACACATTGTTTAGGTTCAATGATGTATAAATAGCGTGAATTTCTACAGGTGGCATATATTTCATCATATCGCGAACCCTGGGGGCGGAATTCGGGGCCTCCGTAGGAATTGTATTCGCGTTTGCCAACGCAGTATCGGCTTCGATGAACACTATCGGTTTCTGCGACTCCTTGAACGATCTGCTGCGGGAACATAACTTGAAAATCATCGACAACGGAGTGAACGACGTTCGAATCGTAGGCATATTCGCTCTGATCGCCATGATTATGGTCTGCGCGGTCGGAATGGAATGGGAATCAAAGGTACTTATTGCCTCGTTGTATTTAACGAAAAACATTTAAATAAGTCTTTCCAATGCAATTAGCAACGAAACATGTTTCTTTCAGGCACAAAACTTCCTCATAGCCATCATCGTCGCCGCCATCTTTGACTTCTTGATCGGTACCATTATGGGTCCGTCGAGTATACCCCAGAAAGCACACGGATTTATTGGATTTTCGTGTAAATTATTCTAAATATTTCCAATTATCCATTCAATGCTTCTGTGTATCCTAGAATTATTTCTTGAATCCTCAGCCGAGGTGTTCATGAGCAACTTGGGAACGGATTACCGGTTCTCGGAGAACAGCAACCAAACGTTCTTCTCGGTGTTCGCCATTTTCTTCCCGTCGGTGACCGGGATACAGGCTGGCGCGAACATATCCGGCGATTTGAAGGATCCAGCCAGCAGCATCCCAATTGGAACTCTTTTGGCGTTGCTTATTTCGATGCTCAGTTACCTCACTTTCGTCCTGTTCGCCGGTGGGGCTGCTTTGAGAGACGCCAGTGGCTTGGTGGGCGCGAACAACACCATAATAAATTGCATCCCACAAGTGAATTGCACTTTTGGATTGCACAACAGTTACTCGGTACGACAGAAACTTCTTCTTTTTAAAGAGGAGTCAATGACCAACTATGGACCACGATTAGTTCTTGAATCTTCGTTTTCAAGGTGATGCAACTTATGTCTGTTTGGGGGCCCTTCATCTACGCAGGCTGTTTCGCCGCGACCCTCTCGACAGCTCTGACGAACTTACTGTCGGTGCCACGATTGATCCAGGCACTGGGACAAGATCGAATTTATCCCGGTCTGATCTACTTCAGCAAAGGATACGGGAAACACGGCGAACCTTATCGCGGCTACGTCCTGACGTTCTTTGTCGCGGTGTTATTCCTTCTCATAGGTACTTCCCTCTTCTCCTTTCAACACTAGATTCACGGAACCCGTCAATTTGACTGTCTGGTTCCATATTTAACACTTTACCGACCGGTAGCGGTTGATCAACTGTTTTATCGGTCGGTAAACGTCGACCGATAAAACAGTTGATTAATAGGCTATCGGTCGGTAAGCGTTGGCCGGTAAAACAGTCGGTTAATAGGCTATCGGTCGGTAAAGTGTTAAAATTTCAGAACGCGTAAATATTATTTTTTAACAACTTATGTTGAATTTCATTGATACATATATTCTGATTAAAAGAAAAATCGTATTGTAAGGTGATCGTCAACGTGAAAGGTATCGATAAATATACGCGAATATGCGATCAGTGGCCGTAAATCTAGTGTTAAAGTGAAACCTCAGTCGATCTATATTAACGATCGAGCATGCTTTCTGATTTCAGCGAATTTGAACGCAGTCGCGCCTTTGATCTCAAACTTCTACTTGGCGTCCTACGCCTTGATCAACTTCTGCACATTTCACGCGGCACTGATTCGACCGATTGGATGGCGACCAACCTTCAGAGTAATTAATAAACTACGCTCAACACATTTTGTAATTTCTTTTAGCGTTCGTTTTCGATTAACATCGATGCATATCTTTTTTACAGTATTACAACACCTGGCTGTCGCTGTTCGGTTTTATCACGTGCGTCGCCATAATGTTCCTGATCGATTGGGTGACGTCGCTGGTCACGTTCGTCATTATATTCGCGTTGTACTTGATAGTCGTCTACCGGAAACCGGACGTGAATTGGGGTAGCAGTACGCAGGCGCAAACGTACAAGACTGCATTATCGACCGTGTATCGGTAAGGAAGAGCTCGCTTTGGTAAAACCAAAAGGGTTCTACGTGTACGATTTAATTTTTCAGACTGAATTCGATGGACTCTCACGTCAAGAATTACGCTCCTCAAATTTTGGCGCTGACTGGACCACCCAGCTCCAGGCCAGCGTTGCTGCATCTGGCCAATCTTATTACGAAAAATCACTCGCTGTTGATTTGCGGTGAAGTGTATCCGGTACATACGCTTATGATAACAATTATTATTAACCCTTTTTGCACTCCCGTGTGAAGCGTGACTCGACATCAGTTCTCATGGTGCTCCTTTGTCGAGTCAACAATAGAATTAAATTTCATTTTCCTACATTCCGAAAGAAAGCATAAGGTTTGCGCAGTTTGCTCAAACAGAGAAATACCCGAAGAAATAAGGGAAATCAATCTTTTTTTTTACACTTGAAAATTACAAAATACAACATCAGTGTAAATTAAGCAGATATTTAATTGAATTAGTTTGTTCCTCTATTTGTTTAAATTGCTTCATTTTTAACGTAAATTTCAAATGAAACACTTGAAAGCGTTGGGAGCTGCCGGTAACAAAATTGAAATATAATTTGGAGTGCAAAGTGTTAACGATAACTTGTACAACGATTCAAACGATTCCTTTGGTACTGTTTCAGACCAATTTGTCTTATCGTTTCCGATCGGTACGACTGAGAAACGGCTACGGGTGGTTGCATCAGCAACGCATAAAGTCGTTCTATCACGTAGTGGAGGACTTGAGTTTCGAAAGGGGCGCGTCAGCGTTGATGCAAGCCTCAGGGGTCGGAAAATTGGCGCCAAACGTGGTTCTAATGGGCTACAAAACCCACTGGTCCACTTGCAACCACAAGGATCTTCAAGAATACTTCAACGTCCTCCAGTAAGTTTACTCAAAAGATTTCATACTTTTGTTCCAGCTCTTGGAAAGGAGTTATTTCATTTTGTGTTCGTTGCAGCAACGCGTTCGACCAAAAATTGGCCGTGGCGATGCTACGAATCGCGGAAGGTCTGGATTGTTCCGGGGTTGTAATCGCAAATGGCGACGAGGAACACGGTGCTTTGGCGCAGAGCAGTTACGACTTAACAGGAAGCACTTTGATGCACGTCGACAGCAATTTGTCTATGTCCAGTCAAATTCCAAGGGTACAGAGTGTACCAACAATGGGTAATTATTGATTCTCTTACGAAATATCTGTGTGAAATTTTCGACGAAATTCAAAAATTACAAATCATTCTAGAAAAATTATTTTTAGTTATAGCGGTCAATTACAATCATTTTTTGTGAATAGATATACCCACGAAATCCTACCCAGTTTCGACAAAAAAATTTGAAAAGGTGTGATATTTTCGACAAAATTAAAAAATTTCAAATCATTCTAGAAAAATTGTTTTTGGTTACAGTGGTCAATTACAATCATTTTTAGTGAATAGGCATACCCTCGAAATCCTAACCATTTTCGAGAAAAAAATTCGAGTAGGTGGACAAATTTTTTCGACAAAATTAAAAAATTTCAAATCGTTCTGGAAAAATTATTTTTAGTAGCAGGGATTAATTACAATCATTTTTGGTGAATAGACATACCTCTGAATTCCTACCCAATTTCGAGTAAAAAATTCGATTAGATGTGATATTTTCGACAAAATTAAAAAATTTCAAATCATTCTAAAAAAATTATTTTTAGTTACAGGGGTCAATTACAATCATTTTTGGTGAATAGACATACCCTTGAATTCCTATTCATTGTCGAGAAAAAAATTCGAGTAGGTGGACAAATTTTTCGACAAAATCAAAAAATTTCAAATCGTTCTAAAAAAATTATTTTCGATTGCAGGGGTCAATTGCAATCATTTTTGTTCAATAGACATACCCTTGAATTCCTATCCATTGTCGAGAAAAAAATTCTTTACCGAAAATATACCGTGTGGCCGGAAATGTTTCCCCCAAATTTTATGCGTATCTTATTTTATTTAATTCTAGGAACTCCGTTCGTACCTGTCGATGGGCCACAAATAATCAGGGACTCGCCAACTCATGGAAGCGCTCGAGATCACTTAAAACACAAAAAGAAACACGCAATCGAAAAGCTAATGTAAGAAATTAATTATGTAAATAATTATATCATTTACGTGCGTACAAATAATGTGATAGGATGTTCGTTACAAATATTTAGGGAGAAGCGGCACGCAATGGCAACTGTGCCTGAACACGTGACAATTTTCCAGAGAAAACATAAAAGTGGTACGATCGACGTATGGTGGTTGTACGACGACGGAGGTAATTCATAAAATATTTACACGCACTTGCAAACAATTATGATATTAACACATTACCGACCGATAGCCTATTAATCGAATTTTTTACCGGCCAACGCTTACCGACCGATAGCGTATTAATCAACTTCTTTACCGACCAACGCTTACCGACCGATAGCCGATTAATCAACCGCTACCGGTCGGTAAAGTGTTAAATTAGCGTACAGTAAAGAAACATCAGATAAAATTTTGCTATCTTCCAACGGTCGTTGTTTTACTTTAAACGATTAGTAAGATCACAATTGTTTGCAATCCAACTGTTGAAGAATATAGGCTCATTTGTAAGTGTTAGAAATTCTTATTTGGCAGGTTTGACGATCCTTTTGCCATACATTATTAGCACACGCTCAAACTGGGAACATTGCAAGATGAGAATTTTTGCATTGGCCAACCACAAGCAGGACATTGTGGCGCAAGAAAAAGAGTAAGTTCCAAACAATTCGATTCTTTCGTCTGGATAAAATTTCTTCTTCTGTTTATATACAAAATATTTTATCGTTCATATTTGTTTTCTAGAATGTCGGAGATTATGTCGAAGTTCAGGATAAAATATACCAGCCTCAAAATGGTGGACGATATCAGTGTAGAACCAAAGCAGGAAACGCAAGATTTCTTCGATAAACTCATATCAGATTTCCGAAAAAACGATCCTGCCGACACAGGTAGAGTACAAGCTCATTGATCAATTTCAAAACATTCATTTACTTCGACAACCGTTATTATTAATTATCTTAACTGACACAAATCGATGTGTACAATTTGATCGTAGAATGCTGTGTCACGGAACTTGAACTTCAATCTCTAAAAGATAAGACTCATAGGCAATTGAGACTTCGAGAATTGTTGTTGGAAAACTCCAGTCAGTCCACGTTGGTTGTAATGTAAGCATTTATAACTTCAACAATTTTTATATTTCTTAAGACATTGTCCATGATTATGAACATAGACCAGAGTAAATTTTATAGTTTTCAACCTGTTGATGTTACTAATAATTATACAGGATATTTGGCCAAACCTGGAAAAAATTTTAATGGAAGATTCTAGAGACCAAAATAAGACGAAAATCAAGAATACAAATTTCTTAATCGAGGCTTCGTTAAAAAGTTATTAACGTTTAAAGTTCCAGAACAGCTGCGTGCTTGCGATAGTGGTTCTCGCTCACTAAACTGTGAGGCTCTCGATGAGTCACTAAGTAGAGTTTCTCGTGCTGAGAGAGCGCCACTATCGCAAGCACGCAGATTGCCATTCTACACGCGGAACTTTAAACGTTAATAACTTTTTAACGAAGCCCCGATCAACAAATTGGTATTCTTGATTTTCGTCTTATTTTGGCCTCCAGAATCTCCCAATAAAATTTTTTCCAAGGATAGCCGAATACCCTGTATAGCAATTTTAAAAAAATTAGTATGTTTAAATTTTGAAATTGCAGGTCGTTGCCAATGCCACGAAAAGGCGCGGTTTCCGCCCCACTCTACATGGCATGGCTGGAAGCATTAACCAGGGATATGCCACCGACGCTTTTAATACGCGGGAATCACACATCAGTATTGACATTCTATTCGTAGTCCACCGATGTTATTCTAAACGATAATATAATTTTAGTCTCCGAGAAGGTTGCGTTAAGCAGCGTCATGGTAAAGTCCGAGCCGCGGCTTGGACATTTTTTGATGCGGACAGACAGTATTCGGTATATTCATGCCAAAAATTATTTAGGTGCTATGATCTGTTTTCGTTTTTATACAGTATTCCTCTCAACTTCGGACCCTGTGGTACTTAATGACGATATTATTTTAGCGTAGATGCGAAAGACAACAGTACAGGGACACCACTAAATGGTAATGTAACTTCAATACTTGTAGGAGCGTAGGGCACACGAATAAAGAACTATACGATACAGGGTGTTCGGCCACCCCTGGGAAAAATTTTAATAGGAGATTTTAGAGGCCAAAATAAGACGAAAATTAAGAATATCAAATTCTTTATTGAGGCTTCGTTAAAAAGTTATTAAAAAATTAAATTCAAAAATTTCAAATCGTTCTGGAAAAATTATATTCGGTTGTGGGGGTTAATTGCAATCATTTTTGGTCATTAGACATACCCCCTAAATCTTGCACATTTTCAAGAAAAAAATTTGAGAATGTGTGGAATTTTTCGACAAAATTGAAAAATTTCAAATCGCTCTGGAAAAATTATATTCGGTTGTGGGGGTTAATTGCAATCATTTTTGGTCATTAGACATACCACCGAAATCTAGCACATTTTCAAGAAAAAAATTCGAGAAGGTGTGAAGTTTTTCGACAAAATTAGAAAATTTCAAATCGTTCTGGAAAAATTATTTTCCTATGCAGGGGTCAATTACAATCATTTTTGGTGAATAGACATAATCCCGAAATCCTGCGCATTTTCGAGAAAAAAAATTCCTTACCGAAAATATAATTTCTGGCTAGAAATGTTACCCCAAAATGTCTTTAAAACGTCATAACTCCTGAACGGATTGGACGATTTTAATGTTTCAAAGTGCAAACTACGCGTATTTTAGTGGAGAATATGTAGAAGTTGCAAAAATATTCGACAAGTTGTTCCTTGACCCCGCAAAATAAGAAAAACCCCATAAAAATGGTACAATTTTCAAACATCCACAACTCCTACAATAGTGAACATATTTCAATGAAACCTTTTTTTGACATAGAGCTCATGGGTACCTACAAAAAAGTATTAGACAACTTTTCTGTAGGACTTCAAACAAAATTATTAAAAATGAAAAACGAATTATTAAGAAAAATCGACAGGGGGTAGGTGCTGAAATTTTTCGGCGAATAAAAAAATTTCAAATCGTTCTGGAAAAATTATTTTCGATTGCAGGGGTCAATTGCAATCATTTTTGGTCAATAGACATACACTCGAAATCCTAACCATTTACGAGAAATAAATTCGAGTATGTGGACAAATTTTTCGACAAAATCAAAAAATTTCAAATCGTTCTAGAAAAATTATTTTCGATTGCAGGGGTCAATTGCAATCATTTTTTATCAATAGACATACCCTTGAAATCCTAACCATTTTCGAGAAAAAAATTCAAGTAGGTGCTGAAATTTTTCATCGAAAAACAAAAATTTCAAATCGTTCTGGAAAAATTATTTTTGGTTGCAGTGGTCAATTGCAATCATTTTTGGTCAATAGATATACCCTCGAAATCCTAACCATTTTCGAGAAAAAAATTCTTTACCGAAAATATACCGTGTGGCCGGAAATGTTTCTATAATATTGTAACGAATCCTCAATCAACAAATCGGTATCCTTGATTTTCGTCTTATTTTGCCCTCTAGAATCTCTCCCATTAAAATTTCCATTAGAACACCCTGTATAAGCTTCCTGAAAGATGTGCTGTACTTACGCACGAGAAAACTGTTTTATTTAGTTAGATAATAATAAACGACTTTTATATTACGCGTGAACGCTAGAAACGATTTGAAAACATGATAAAACATTTTCTTAAGCATGTATTCAACATAGTGACATATAACCTATTAACTTAGTTCTAACGTAATACACTTGATATTAAAATTTTGTTAATTAGAACTGAATGCCTAGTAGAACGTTGAAACCGCGGAGGGAAATGAATATTTTCTATTTTTTATCGGTAATATAATTTTCATTGCTAACGTTAATTTCATTGTTAGTCGTATTTATTAAAATTTTTTGTTACGCGTTACATCGTTTTTGTTAGTTGTTTAAGGCAATAAACATTTCCGAATTTGAGCACGAAACAGCTGACTTTTATGAAGTAATAGTTTTTACTTTGAGCAACAAATGTAATTAGTAAGAGAGCACTTTTTTTGTATGGCAACAGAAAATATGTTACTGATACATGGATAAGAAATATTTTTTAGACGAACGTACATCGTATATCACTTCAGTACAAAAATAAAAATACACCGAATCATATTTTGAAATATGTCTGAATAAAAGATCAAAATGTAATAACTATTCACTTTTATACAGAGCAAAGTAAAAAATCGTTCCCACAGAGTTTCACTGTGAATTATTTGCACTTGAACTTTTCAACTTACTAATATGTAAATAATTTATATTAGTAAAATGATATCGACAATCTTTATTATTCACGGAATAATATTATATCGTCACTTTTAAAGTGTCAATTAAGTTTGTAAATGCAAACTCGATATCTTCAATTTACGAAACATTTACCACGCGTGCACGACTTGTACATATAAAAATAATTAAACCAAAATAAGTTAAAATTAGATCAACACACAATTGTAAAACGTGTTTATTTTGTAATGCATTTAATGGCATTAAAAGTTTAGTATTAATTATAATAAATTCATTGCTGTCAAATTCCTGAATTTATTATGTCTGGTCTTAATATAACTTACAAAATTTCATAAATTAATTGTTTGCGGAGTTCTTTTATTTAGATTCGGAATTAAAAAATTTATAAGCGTGAGCTCGATTCAGGAATCAGTGCTCCTTGTTTGACTTCTCCCATTGAACGAAGATGTTCTATAACCAATATTAATACTATTACTATTTATTGTTAATTGCTGTTTACTTCGTAGTGGACTTATATATATATTACATATACATAAAAAAATATTGTACTTAAAACCCGTTTTAGTAAAAATAACAATGCTTTTTACAAAAATATTATACATCAAAACTAGCGCACTTGTTACAATGAGTCTCAAAGATTCTTGCAAAAACAGGTTGTATTTGTTCCAATATATCAGATGCCAGCATTCCTCTCTGCTTTATCTTATATGCAGACGCATTGCATTCTCTTACTAATCTTGATGCAGCGTAACCAGCTGCTATAGGAGATGACAAAGAATTTTCGGTAGTTCCTGCACAAATAGCCCACCACCAAAATACGGACAATGCACCGACTAATAAATCTCCTTGCCCTCCGCATCTTCTACCAGAGCCTGCCAATCCGCACGTCACTGCTTCTGTACCTTTATGACCATCCGCTATTACATCTTTCGCTCCCTTATGTAAGATTATTACATTTTTTCCAAGCGCATCTGCCAAGTGCTTAACATCGGCAGATTTGACCATTGGCGTGGGCTGTACAGTTTTATCAAGAACTCCTTTCACCAGACGAGTGAACTCCATGGCATTTGGAGTGAGAATAACGCCTGGATATTCTTTTATGAGATCAGGTTTCTGACTAACTAAAAACAGCCCGTCCGCATCGATTACCAATGGTTTCTTCAATTCACGACAAATCGAAATTAATTCAACAATCGTTTTAAAGATCTTGTCGTCTCTACCAAGACCAGGTCCAATGATAATTACGTGTAAGAGATCGAGCCAAGGTCTTATTTGTCTGATCGCATCGTACTGATCTAAAACCGGATGAACGATAGGCTCTGGACTGAACGATTTTAAAGGAATGCTCGCTTCCTTCGCACAAAATACATGCACTAAATCGCATCCTGTGCGAAGAGCACTCATGGCTGCAAAATATGGTGCGCCTGTGTACTCTACACTACCACCGAATATGCCTATCCTACCATCTTGACCTTTGTGTTTAACGTTGTTTAAATTTGGAATTATTCTTCTTATTCCTTTCAACATACGCTCGTCAACTGACACAGACGTAGTCATGGTGGATACACAGAAAAGTTTCAGTAACTTCCTGTGGGCAAAACGTAAAATAGCAAGAGACATTTCCTAACCTAACATAAAATCTTAGTATACTTATTATGATTCTCTCAATTACGCGTGATATTTGTACGAATGACCATTTTTTAATATATGTATATGCTTTATTTCTTCTTAGAAATTATTCTTACGTTAATGAAAGATCGCGTGAAACTGATATGAAAACGAGTTACTGAAATACAACGTTACCTGTAGAGCTCTGAGTAAGTAACTGCTGGTTTGTACAAATATCGTTCTTATTTAACGAATACCAGTCGAGAAGAAATCGAACAGGAGTACGAAGATACAACGTAATCAAAAGGCCGATAACCTATAATCTACTTTTACATGCACGGAATCACATTAAATTTTTTCGTATCACACGTAATGCACAAAAATGCCGATTCATTAAAATAAATTATAAAATTGTGTTCAGTTATTCAAAAGGAAATAATGTAAAAAGAAACTGGAAATTTTGAAGAACGAAAACACAGAAACATAAACAAATGTACAATTGAAAACACAAAAACAGTCGGTCTGCACTTCAATTGCAGTGACCAGTCTTCTTTGGAAATATCGGCTATCGAGTAAAATTTTAAATAACGCACACGTGTTATCAGTTTCTTCAGGGCTGTATAATAGTTGGAAATAAACTAATCTAATGGAAACCTTTACTTACAATTAAATTCGGTCTCGATTGATTTCGTATGTAAATCTTGAACATCCGGTTTTCTCGATTATGACGATAGAGAATAGATTTTAATTTACTTACGAATTCGTCGTTCTGCGTTTGAATTCCGGTATCTTCGGACCTTCGATGACTTTCACGGATTCGTTTATCAAGATTTAAAGTTAAAATTATAGTTACTCGTGTTACAAATTTGTATGTATATTTGTTACCGTGAATGACCGAAATTGGAGAATGTCAACTTTCACCGGTGAATGTCAACAGATACCAAATACGTCGGTGAAAGATCGAATATTTCATTACATTGTTGTACATTCGGACCCTCTCCGGTGTGTGTCGACAATCACAGATATGCTCTGGTGGAGGTCCAAAACAGAAGAGTCAAAAAACAAGCGACTGGCTCCCTCCTGCCAAATCCTTTGTTCTGCTAGGAGTCAATCAGCTTTGTCAGTCTTATGCAAGCTTTGATAACGCGAGCAACGTTTTCTTAATTTTTTTTCCGATACCCTAATTTATACTAAATGGATACTGCAGTAAATCGTGATCTTTTTCTAACCCAGACCTAACCCAGACATAACCCAGACCTAACCCAGACCTAACCCAGACCTAACCCAGACTTAATTCAGACTTATTCCAGACCTAACCCAGACCAATTCATCGCTGATAACGGGGGTTAGGTCTGGGTTAGGTCTGGAATAAGTCTGAATTAAGTCTGAATTAAGTCTGGGTTAGATCTGGGTTAGGTCTGGGTTAGGTCTGGAATAAGTCTGAATTAAGTCTGAATTAAGTCTGGGTTAGATCTGGGTTAGGTCTGGGTTAGGTCTGGAATAAGTCTGAATTAAGTCTGGGTTAGGTCTGGGTTAGGTCTGGATTAGGTCTGGGTTAGGTCTGGGTTAGGTCTGGGTTAGGTCTGGGTTAGGTCTGGGTTAGGACTGGGTTAGGACTGGGTTAGGACTGGGTTAGGACTGGGTTAGGTCTGGGTTATGTCTCCACGCACCCGTTTGGTTGTCCAGGCGGCAGGGGAGGTGAACCCCTACGTGGCGCGTCCCCAGGTGGCGGATAGGGGCAGCCGCTGGGATGGGATGCGGGGATGAGGTCATCAACCTAAGAAGGCTGGTGTCTGCATCCTCGCATGGCATCCCGGAGGTCGGAGCGAAAGCTCCCGCGGACCAAACACCGGTATGAATGTGTTGCGCGTGTGAATGTGTGTGTGAGTGGACTGGGGCATGGGGTATTTGCCGCGGGTTAAACCTAAGGCCGCAGGTTGGCCAGTTGGCTGCGGGTGTGTCCTGCGGCCAACATGGCCCCGCGGCCGGCGGCTTAGTCCCATGTCACGGGGCCGCGGGCGCTGGTGACCAGGCGCCTGTGGCTGAGTGGAAATGCGGTGGGAGGAGTGCCTCTCACCGGGAAGGGCCTGAAAAGGCACGGCGCGGCGGGGGACTCTGTGATGTCTCACTAGAGTTCCCGGTCCCTCGCCAAGCGCCTGAGGATGGTCACCGTGGGGTTTTAGCCGGTAAGAGTCCGGCACTACCCGCCGGCCCGCCCATCGGGTGGGCCCGCGGGTGTCCATGAGGATTTCCCCACGTACAAGGTCTGGGTTAGGTCTGGGTTAGATCCTTTCAGAAAGAGAGGCGAAAAAGTTACGTCACCCTTGTGACGTCTTATAGCGACTGAATTACGGGGAAGAAAATATAAATCTCCAACATGTTCAACACTCACCATTAGTGCATGGTGAATGTCAACATTTACCGGTGTAAGTCAGAAATAAGGGTGTTTAGCAAATATTTCGGACATACACTAAGCGACTATGTGAATGTTGACATTCACCGGTGAAAGTCGACATTCTCCAGATTTCGGTGTTTCACTGTAACATATTCATCAGACCGGTACGCGACACTTACTACCCGCCATCGAGAAAATAGGGGGCGGTATAAAAATTCGCGCCTTACATCTTGCATCAAAACTTATTTACATTTATAAACATATTGGTTTATTGCAACTTGATATATGTTCGATAATTATTTTTAAAATAATTATACCATGATTACATCTCTTTAACGTTTAATCATAATTGGAAAATTATTACATTATTATCTTGAGTAATATGAACGATGACAGTTTAACTCTCTTTAACGTAATAAACGTTGATATCAAATTTATAATAAATACTTATTTCCTTAACCGAGGTAAACGATTATGGTGCCTTTGTTACAGACAAATGAACCCCTTCTTTAATCGTCAGTAAGAACAATTGTTTCACAGTCTCGAACGGAATCGTTGTTTTTTCACAAATGTCGACTTTATGATTTCGAAGAAACGTGATCAGTCCAATTTTGCTTTGATAATGCGCGAAACGGGCACCTGGAAACAATGTTTATATTTCACTTATCTTTCATTCTTTCCTCCAAATTAATCGACACTTTTGTCATGTTTATAAACATTGCGATACGTGGTTTAAGGTACAATGAACGTAATGGGGGGAAATTCATTCATAAATCGAGAATTGTTAGCATTTCTGATGTTAGTTGCTCATAGATATTTTAAATTTAAATATATTAATACTGTAAACTATTATAATTTATTTTATACACGTACCTATGCAGTTCCTTGGTCCGTCACCGAAAGATAGAAAACTCATTGGATGTCTTTTCGCAATAGCCTCGTCGGTAAATCTTTCAGGGTCAAATTTATCAGGGTCTGGATAAATATCGGGATCGTTTTGAAGAGGATATATTGGTATCCAAACTGACGTATTTTTTGGAATCGTAATTTTCGTCCCCCTAAATGTGTAATCCTCCGCTGCTTGTCTTATGAGCACAGGCAGTATCGAGTACTTCCTTAGCGTCTCTGTACAAAAGAAAACAATTATTAAAAAGTATGAAAGATTAATGTAAACATCGAGTCGACTCTGAACATTTTTTTTTTAAATAAAAGAATAGGAGATTTATTAAACGTAACTTCCCCTTCAGTTTGTTAAATTGGAAAAGTTATAATCGTGTCGGAACACACAATAAACTAGGAACCAACAGTCGTCGTTTCAATCAGATATCTTTCTCAATTAATTTTTCTTTAATGAATTTTGTTGTAGAACTTTGTAACAGAAAGCTTCTTTAACGCTTTCGAGCCACGCGACACGAATCGTGGAGGGGATGATTGTTGAATTTGTTTATTAGATACTTTGTTTTTGGGAAAACGGACTTTGAATATTCTTCGAATTACTGAAAAGTTAATTATCTTGCGATAGAATAAATCTGATTACAAGTGTTGTTTACAGCATACGTAATCTCGATCATTTCGATATCATGCACTTATACAAATCAGCTACTGTAGACGCTTAATAATTCAAGATATATCTCCGCGTATTCCCAATTATTGAGTGCAAAGTCGTGAATGAAAAAGCATTAATTATTTTATCGAGATTCAAGCAACAAACGCGACAATTGAATCAATGAGTCTCCTTTATATAGGAATATTTCTATTATTACCGTATTAATTATAAATTATAATATCTTACAAGGAAAGAGCAAGGGTCTTCGAGTTACCGATTTTGTTAAAATTTTGTTAAAAAGTTATTAACGTTTAAAGCTCCGTCCGTACTGAATTTTTTTCTCGAAAATGCGCAAGATTTCGGGGGTATGTGTAATGACCAAAAATGATTATAATCGACCCCTGTAACCGAAAATAATTTTTCCAAAACGATTTGAAATTTTTGTTTTTCGACGAAAAATTTCACACATTCTCGAATTTTTTTCTAGAAAGTGGGTAGGATTTCGGGGGTATGTGTAATAACCAAAAATGATTGCAATTGACATCTGCAACTAAAAATAATTTTTTTAGATTGATTTGAAATTTTTTAATTTTGTCGAAAATTTCACAGATTCGAATTTTTTTCTCGAAAGTGCGTCGGATTTCGAGGGTATGTGTAATAACCAAAAATGATTGCAATTGACATCTGCAACTAAAAATAATTTTTTTAGAATGATTTGAAAATTTTTAATTTTGTCGAAAAATTTCACACATTCTCGAATTTTTTTCTCGAAAATGGTTAGGATTTCGAGGGTATGTATATTGACCAAAAATGATTGCAATTGATCTCTGCAATCGGTAATAATTTTTCCAGAACGATTTGAAATTTTTTTTTTTTCGACGAAAAATTTCAGCACATACTTGAATTTTTTTCTCGAAAATGGATAGAATTTCGAGGGTATGTGTAATGACCAAAAGTGATTGTAATTGACCCCTGCAACCGAAAATCATTTTTCCAGAACGATATGAAATTTTTTGATTTTCTCGAAAAATTTGTCCATCTACTCGAATTTTTTTCTCGAAAATGCGCAAGATTTCGGGGGTATGTGTAATGACCAAAAATGATTGTAATTGACCCCTGCAACCGAAAATAATTTTTCCAAAACGATTTGAAATTTTTTTTCCCGTCGAAAAATTTCACACTATCTCGAATTTTTTTCTAGAAATTGGGTAGGATTTCGGGGTTATGTCTATTAACCAAAAATGATTGTAATTGACCTCTGCAACTAAAAATAATTTTTTTAGATTGATTTGAAATTTTTTAATTTTGTCGAAAATTTCACAGATTCGAATTTTTTTCTCGAAAGTGCGTAGGATTTCGAGGGTATGTGTAATGACCAAAAATGCTTGTAATTGACCCTTGTAACTAAATATAATTTTTTTGGTATGATTTGAAATTTTTGAATTTAATTGTTAATAACTTTTTAACGAAGCCTCCATTAACAAACTGGTATTCTTGATTTCGTCGTATTTTGGCCTCTAGAAATACCCTATTTACTATTTTTTCTAAGGGTGAACACATTTTAGGAAATATTAATTGATTTCTGAAATTTCCATATTTTCATATACGTTATACATTTTAATAAACGCCAAAGACACTTTATTTAAAATATAATTAGTATTTTTATGTGTGAATTTCATTATTTAAAACAGTGTTAACAGAAAAAAACTTCTGGAGTTATCCAGGGAATCGAACTCGGACTAATTGTGTGGGAGTCTAACGTTTTACTACCACGTTTCATAAGAGTAACTGATACTCGATAGATTGAAACTGTATTTCTTGATAATAATTATACTTTAATCATTAATATTTCAAAGCTCATCGAGTATCTGTATAACTAAATCTACAAGTGTGAAACTTGTGAAATCTACATATCTTCTCTTTGTTAGACACAATAGATTCGTCGAAACGTACCTCGAAACACCATCTCCAAATACTTCATTCCTTTCACTTGTTTGTACGTCAATTGACTATTTTCCGGGCTGTGTTCCCTGATTTCTGCTCGAAGTTTCTCCTGTATATGGTGGTTTTGCGCCAGCTCGTAAAGCGCGAAGCCCATCGTCGACGAGGAAGTTTCGAACCCGGCCAGGAAGAAAATGTACGCTTGCGAAGTGAGCAACGAGTCCGTAAGTTCTGTAAAATAAAATAACATTCAGTCCATAACTGAATCCAAACGAGTGTCGAACGAAAGTATGAGCTCATTTGCAAATTCTCGACGCTTCAACCGTGAGATCGAAACTACACAATTTTTTACGAGATTAATATTTTACTCTTAGACGACCGTGGTATTTATTATCGTAGTGGTAGGATTTTTTGATATTTAAATAGTAAATTTTTAAAAGAAATGCCTCGTGTAATATTTACCGATATTTTCCAACTCGTCCGGATGTTGCTTAAGATGTTTCAGCATGTGGACAAAATCGGGACGAAACACGTTGTTCTCTATTCTGTAATTAATCGCGTCCACGATCGTGTCGGTGAAAAATTTGTAGACACCGGTCGGTTGCAACGTATGGCCAACTGTATCGTACAAATACGGCATGAACTCTCTGCAGACGTCTCTCACCTCCTGTTGGGCGCAAGTATGGAAGACCTTTCTGCCCATTAGGCGAAATATGTTGTTCTCGTCTTTGAACGAGTTCATGTTCATCCCGAAGGCGCAGCTACCGATCACGTCTGTCGTGAATCTCGCTGCTACTTCGCGACACTCTATGGGCTCCCCGTTCTTTACTGTTTTGTCCAAATACTCCTCCAAGTGTTCCGCACACTCTATTATAAGCGGAAACATTTCTTTCAGCCGTCCACTGGTGAACACTGGCGAGAGCTTCGATCTTATTGGCCTCCATCTTTCGGGCTCCAGCTGGAAAAGATGTTCCGACAATGGCTCTGCCTGCGAATATTTTTACGATCAGAATACTTTCAGAACACTGTATAATTTTTGTCGCTATAAAATTGATATATAATTCAAGCAAAAGTATCAAACATGGACGAAATTTTGAAAACGATACTTTCAACAAAATTTGAAATTAACCACTTTTTATTGTACCTGATATTATTCATTTCTCGAAATCAATGTTTAAGTACCTTTTTGAAAATATATAAACCACGGCCTGCAAACACAGAGAAGTCTCTGATAAGAACGTCCTTAATTAAATTCAGGTCATTAACGATCAGAACGGGTGTATATCGTTGAAATATGCCGAACACCGGCTCGTGTTTGTATTCGTTATATATTTTCGCTACGAACTGACTGATCGATAACTTTCTAGTCGCCCAATCCTTAACGTTGCCGAAGAAAATGACGGGCTTAGGCCCGGGTACGCCGCGAATTTTCCAGAAATCGAAGTTCAAAGTAAAATAATAATAAAGAGTGAGAAGCGTTATAACGATCAGGCTTAAAATTACGAAATAGTCTTCCATGCTTTGTGAACTGCCCTAAAGAAGACAATGATCGAAAATGGTCACCGATAGACCTGCAGGCAAAACCACGACCAGTTGTTACACGGTCGAAAGTTTGCTTTGAAACTGAGGCTCGAAATAAATATTCGTACGAGGTCGAAATTTTGCGATAACACCATTTTGTTCGAACGCGCTAAATATCACGAATGTACTTCATATCAGAAATGTACTCGATATGTAAGGTTTAGGCGCGTGCGGGTGCGTTTAAATATTTTTTTTTTTTATCTATTTTCTTACTTCGTAATTCGATGACCGTAATTTCATTGGACGAAAGTAAGTTTAACGGTTGGAGACAAAATGGAGAAGCTTTGAATAAAACAAAATGTAAATATTGTGGTTACAGTAATTAAAGAAATTAAAACGATGTGTACGGAAATACCAAATTCTTGATCGAAATGTTTCTGTAGATCGTTAAAAATAATATTTGTATTGGTTTTTACAATAAAACGGACGAACGCGGTGTTGAGTACAGTTGCACCGATTGCACTTGCGATTAGCCTGAGTTCATTTAATTTCCCAATGTCGTGTATGTAAAGTGCGAGATACAGACTGATATCAAGTACAAATGATCGATATACGGGTGCAAACCCCGAATCGCGACGTACGATCAATCTCCAGGATTAATCGTAAACGATAGCACAAATAAGTTCAAATCATATTCTGGTATTAATAGTATCTATATGTAATACTGTAAAGTACTTAAAATTCGATGGAGATTAGTATCGGTTTTATAACTGATTAAAATATTCGTATTCGGTCACATGCACTTTAAGATAACATTGTCATGTAATAAGCTGTTGTTTGACTGTTATATCTTTCCTGTATCTATACTGTATATCCTAAAAATTTATACTTAGTTAGATTATGTTGCAAATTAGATGCTTCGAACAGTAATTTTGTATTTGAAATAGTACAATGCTCTTGGAAATGCGTATCCTCGTTTTTAAAATTTAATATTTCGATGTATCTAGCCAAAAAAAATGTATGAAATAGCAAGAAGCAAAAGCAGTATTTTATCATAAGCTTTCTTTCGATATTAGCACTAGATTGACCAAGGAAGTCATTTCGACTGCTTTTTAATTTCAATTAGAAAAACAATTATGTATATAATGACACAATTTCTTAGAATTTTGTGACTTTCTGCACAACATATAAATGCGTTTATTAATAATTGTAGTTACCTCCCCCCTCCTTCATTTATATGTGTTATACCTATATTGCCCAAAAGCAGTAATTTTGACTGCTTGGGAAATTTTAAATAATTTTAAATGACTCTTATTATTGAATTGAGTAAATTTCTTATATGACCAGTTCGACTCTGTATTGAAATAACAGTTTTCATTTTTTTTCGATTACCAACACATGATAACATACAAGTACATGATAAATTGTCGATTTGGGCGTACCTAACCCAGACCTAACCCAGACATAACCCAGACCTAACCCAGACCTAACCCAGACTTAACCCAGATCTAATCCAGACCTAACCCAGATCTAATCCAGATCTAATCCAGACCTAACCCAGATCTAATCCAGATCTAATCCAGACCTAACCCAGACCTAACTCAGATCTAATCCAGACCTAACCCAGACCTAACTCAGACCTAACCCAGACATAACCCAGACCTAACCCAGACCTAACCCAGATCTAATCCAGATCTAATCCAGACCTAACCCAGATCTAATCCAGATCTAATCCAGACCTAACCCAGACCTAACCCAGACATAACCCAGACCTATTGATAAATTGCAGTTTCTCAATAAGCTAAAGTAGTAAGTACTTGTTATTCGAATCTTTATGCAGTGATACTTGTTCTAAGAAGTTGTTTATTTTATTTCTGCGCCCTAAATTCATAATATTAAAAATTAATTTTAAACAAATTTCTTTACACATTAGTTAATCTTTCACAATGCAGTAATTTTGACTGCTTTTGGGCAATATAGGTATATACTAAGTTTCAGTCTTTCTAGTGTTAGTTGTCATGGAAGTCAGATACAAGAACAACGAATCAAGAGAGTATCATTCATACATATAAATGAATTTCCATCCCTTCCGTAGTCAATTCACATGTACTTACATACAACTACTACTGCTGCCCATAAATACTAATTCAGTGAAGAGGTTAGGTTAATATTAATTCGCTATCCGTGCGAAGAGGTCGCTAAAATCACCTCCGAATTTTCAGGTCGGTATGGCAGTCAAATTCGACCGCGAAAATCCATAAGGTGAAAGGTATATTCGTATTCCTCGTTTGTGACGAAGGAACTGAACGTTTATTCCTTCCACCCCATCCATTTAATAAAATATATAGTTTATAATCCCGTCTGTGAGTAAGGTGAAGTTCACCCTTCGCTACAATGGCTTCTTCGTTTGGAAACGGGCGGTATAGTCATCTTGTGGCGCGTATTTGAAACAGAGCGCGAGATTGAATACGTGTTCATTGCTGTTTTGTCGTCTGTTCCGCGTAAAGGATCGTGTCAGTGTTCGTTAGACGTGCTGGGAAGATCCTTGGACGTTGTACGATGCTCGATAAAAGCACACGTTTCGTTACGTGATGGGGAAATTGAACGGGTGCCTGGTTTTCTAGCTAGTCACGGTCCCTGGCTATCAATAGACACCTGTCTATACGGTGACGACGAAACCGAGAACGTTCGCGTTGGATAAGCGGCTGTTCTGCCCGACATGCCTCCCAGAAGGAACAACTGTGGCCTTCTGGCCAGGGTGAACTTTCCCCTGTACACGCTGCAGATGATCACGAGCAGGCATATTCTCGTTGGTGGTGGTGGCGGTTCTTCGAAAACAGGGGTGGCTAATGGATTTGTAAGTATTTGTTAACTCTTCTGGTGAAAAGAAACTTTGGCAACTGGGTTCCAACTTGGTGGAAAGGAGTCGATATTGAAACCAGCTGTATCGATTTTCAGGAAATATTCGAACTGTCTCACAATGGATCTCAGTTTGTCGCAGAGGAAGTAACCAGGCACGAAACAGGCCCTAGCGTCGTTATGAATTGCACTGCTTACACGGATGGCAAGCGAACGTGGATCGCGGCTGGCCAGGAGAGTCACTGTCAGTTGTACAACGTGAATACTAAAGTGATAACCGTAGAGAATGGAAAAGTTATCGAAGGATCTAGCGACGGTGCCAAGGATGGCCTTAGGCAGAGGAAAGGTGCGGAGAAAGCAGAGGAAAATGTTACTTCGAAGGAAAGGATAGAGGAAATTAAAGACGATAATTCCAATATTGAAAGCAAGAAGTTACAGCTGAAAGTAAAGCCAGCAGACAGCGTACAGACTGATTTTAGGTATCTATTTCCTATAAATCTGTTAATAATTTAACGTTTTTATAGTTTTCCAACGATAACTTTTGTCAACAGCAAGGATGAACCGCTCCAGAGGATCGTTAGAATAAGTTTGAACGGAAAATTTATGGCCACCGGTGGAACGGACTGTCACGTGAGATTGTGGAAGTTCCCGCAGTTACATAAACTGCACGATCTCGAAGCTCACACGAAGGAAATCGACGATATAGATTTTAGTCCGGATTGCACGCTGGTCGCGAGTATCGCGAAGGATGGTAAAGCCTTTCTGTGGAATGTGAACAGCGGTACCAAAGACAAGGAGTTAACTTGGACGCCTATGGATGGTTTGAAGTACATGTACAAAAGGTGTCGGTTTCGTAAATTAGAGGAGGAGAAATCGAAAGCGCAGCTGTTCATGCTGTCTAATCCGGTGGTCGGGAAGAATCCTAGTTTCCTACAGATGTGGGACACCGATTCCGGAAGTATAATAAAAACGGTCCCGTACAAAGAGACTTTGTCCGCTCTGGCGGTGTCGGACGACGGGAAGTTCGTGGCTGTTGGCACGATGTTTTCCGGTAGCGTCGATATATACGTTGCGTTCAGTTTGAGGAGGGCATTGCACGTGCCTGGTGCGCACAGTATGTTCGTGACTGGCCTAGAATTCTTGCCAACTAAATTGGACGGTCTTGAAATCACCAGTAATACGGAAACGGCTGTTGTTAGCATTTCCGTGGACAACAAAATCTGCATACACAGCATACCGTTCAGACGTGAGTACCTTTCACAGTTCGAACTAATTTCTCTTTTTAAGAAAACTTTTACAGGTGATTTTTTTACCGCAGATACACTGCCATTCTGGTTCGTCATCATAATGATCATTTTGAGCGTGTGCGGTGCGTTCATTTTTTGTAGTTACCTCGGGATATGACCCGAGAAACATATTTTCGAGACTATCCAGAGAAGCAGTACTTTTTCCAGAATTCTGTAAGACAGTACCGGACATCGAAGTTTTTCCACATGCCTTTTCTAGGTCGTAAAACTTATTTATAGCGAGCGAAGAGAAAGACGTAGTCCGTTGAAAATTTTTTCGTGATGTTCGTTCGTAAACGTATGTGCACGATCTCGGTGACGATACACACGATTGTCTGCTATATATTTGCCAGCAAATGGATCGACGTCGCGTATATTTATGCAACGTCGATCGACACGGGGTGTTGCTGTGATAAACACTTACACTACACTAGACGAACCGCTCGACAAACATTACTGTAAATAGATATTTTGAATTAGATCTTTTTTTTTTTTTATTTCTAATGGACTGTTGTTGCTCAATGCTTTCCTTCGATTATAAAATGCTTTCCACAACTTCGAGATACTAATTTCCAATGGTTTGTGCACAGAACGTTCGACAGAATCTTCTGGCTAATTGCATTTATTTAATTTACTGTCTATGTATCATATTTCCGTGTACAGCAGAAGGTAAACATCAAAGCGTAACACTTTATGTACATTCTTTAACATTAAATATGTTTCGATACATTTTTATTCCATTAACTTTCGTTATTTTTTTTATCGATATTTCTTAAGAGAATAACTTTGAATTCATGGTATTATATTCATGGTTAACTCGTTCCGTATAAATAGCAGATCCACGCGTCGGCACGGTATTTTAGTATTTCCTCGTGCGTTATAATTTTTCATAGTACGAGAGGTTGCCATAGAAAAAGTATCCGTTTCCAGAAGTGTTTCATCGTGACATAAATCAAAGTTGTACAACTGGGTTGTGTATAGGGCTACGAATATGTACATTTGTTAATGAAATAAAATTCATGATACAATTTGAAGATTGCGTTCGTCTTTTCGATAGTTTACGTCTCAGTTTCGTTTATTTGGGATGTATTTAGTGACTAAGGAAACAAATTGCTCGATAGAGAGTAGAAGAGACATATTAGGCCGAGTATTTTTATTAATTCGAAGATTGTGTGTTGTTTAGGAAGTGATATAGATTCTAGGAAGAAAGTATTGTAACCAATATTGTAATAACACAAAGTAACTGTTTGCAATATAACAGTACAAGGAAAATGTTTTTAACCCCTTCCCGTACTATAACCAGTCTGACTCATGAAGACTTTGGTCCAAACATGAATATCACGAATCAGACTCGCGGACAGCAAATCACGATCGTGACTGAGTTTTGGTTCCTATCGATACGGCATAAAAGTGGTCGCGATTTTTATAATTTCTGTTACAAAGCAGTTTAGCCTCAATCTAGTCTGTTTACTGTGCGTTTACGCCCGTTTGGGCCCAGATTCCGGATTCCGGATTTCGTTGAGCTAAATGGCACGCGAACGGGTTAACGTGGCGACGATGTGTCCCTCTGTCGGTGGTCTTAAGGAAAGTGCAAGGAATGTTCTTGTCTTTTTTCAACGAATGAATCAGGACTCGCGTTCGAAAAGGAATGTCGTCCGAAATCGAAAGGCGCCTTCAGGGCCTGAACAGGGGACAGAGGGGCCAGAACATTTTACGAGCTTAACGTTGGCGCCTGTCGGTGGCTCTCAAGGCGGCGGAGAGCGTATCATCGTTTCAAAATAACAAAAGTGTCGTTCGATGGAAAGTTATCTTTACTGATGGATCTTGTTGATCGAAAGCAAAAGTCAACTCGTTCGTGTAAAGATGGCGATGGAAACGCAACGTGTTTGCAGTAGTATCAAAGTGGGGCACAGTTAAGGAGAACGTAGATAATGTTATAGGTTACGAAGACACCATTGTCGCCATATTGGTTTCTTCGGACGTTTTAATTATTTTCCATTCATTTACCCAAAGATCATCTACCGTGAAATACGTGAGTTAAATGGTCTCCGTTCATATTCGAGCGTATATAGCGTTTACGTCGTAAATAAACGATGTCAAAGGTTCTCGTTCTTTTCACTTTTTTCGCGTTTCATGAAACTTTGCATCCATTTGCATATCCTGCGAGAGAAAATGTTAAAAAAGTATCGCATAGGAATTTGTGAAAGTGAAAAATAGAAATCTAAACGAGTTCTTTGCTTCTGTCGTGAAATATGTCGAGGAACCCTGCTATTGAACCTCGAATATTTATTCCTATTGATTGTAAAACGAAAATAATTGTTATAAGTAACTGCATTTTAAAAATCTTTCATGATCAGACTCGACGAAGGAGGTGGAGAAGGATCTTTCTTTTGTTTCGAAAAATTTTTTATTCAGAAATATTTTACGGGTTCTAAAAATTATTTTAAACTCTCGCGCGCCTCTTAACTGCTAAAACGTTCAACCAAGGGTAATCCCGGCGCCACGGAATCCTTACAAGCGTTCTCAGACGACGTTTCCACGGAACGATCGATCATTCAGGATATACGCGCCGCAAAAAAAAAAATATAAGGACTAAGGGATCTGGGGCAAGGATACGGTGGTTATGTACAAAGTTGAGTGTCCTCGCAAAAGGATTCGCTCCATTCCCTCGAGGAGAGAATCCCTTTCGTACGCAATCGACGACGGAAACGTATCGCGAACGTGAACGCTGGAAAAATCCTGACTGCAAAATGAAGATCGAAGATCGTGCGCCAAAGAAGGAGAAAATAATTTACTTATCGTTCTAAACGCTCGTCATTCATCCATCGAGAGATCGTGAATTTTTAACACGTTTCTGGAATTCTGGATTCGACGTTTCCTTTCGGAAGCAGTCGTCGTTAGTGACGGGACGTATTTAGTGACGTCGATACGTATACTCGAGCAACGCGCGGAGGCGTCTAACGGTCATCGAAACTAGATGGCGTTCGTATCGGTGAGCCGTGCTTGTTGACATTTCCTGGAGTATCGATATAATGCAAGCGTCAAGTATTGTTGAAACCTCGACGGGATGTAGCTGATATATTATTAGAGTTGTCGATAATTCGAATATGACTACAGATTAATTTATGGAAATAATTAAATGATTACTATCGATACGATTGTCTCGAAGACGATCCATTTCTTCAAAATTTCTTTCGACCGTTTCGACCACTATGATGCTTTTCAATAACGGAAAATATTTAATTCTATAATTCAAAATTTTGTCATTCGGATTGCAGAATTAAATACTTTCGTCATCGAGGATCATAAAAACAGTTGTCGAAACGTTCGAAATAAATTCGAAGGAAAAGTTTGAGACAAGATTAAGAAATCCAAGAGTATCGAAACGCTCGACTCCCGTCACCGTTTCCAATCGATTCTTGCAAGTCGATTCTTCGAGCTATCGAGGCACGTCGAGGTTCGCGCGTCAGGATTCGACCGGAGATTCGAATGGGGAAGTTCGCGTGACGTTTCCCGCGCGTTCCCCTTCAGGAATACCGACCTCGATCAGTCGTGCGTTTCATCGAAGCCGCGCGCCACTCGATCGATCGATTATTCGCGGGCGCGATCGCTCATTTGTTCGCGGTGAAACCGTCCCCGGTCGGGTCGAGCAGCCACGGATAATAATTGGGGCACTCCATGCAGGTGAACAGACGAAGGGTTTCCCCCGGAAGTTCCCTGGTGGTCAACGGACAGGCGTTTGGTAGGGAGCAGTACGGTTGTCCCTTCTCGTCGCAGGTCTCCTTCCAATCCTGGAAGTCTCTCAAAGCTGACAGCTCGGTGGGCGTCTGCATCCACTTAATAACCTACGAATTAAATTAAATCGCGTGTTAGGTTAGGTCTAGGTTTTTTTTTTATTATTAATGCAATCTGAATCTCAAGAAAGATTTTGCAGTAATTTTGTATGCAGTAAAATAGTATGCTTTACGATTAATCTTTAAAATTTGTAATAGCTAGTCTCGTCAAAATGGCGGCTTCTCGGAGAATATTGTACGCGAAACGAGTTAGGTCTAGGATTTAATTTTGTGTTTCTTCTTTTTTGTTTGTTTCGTATACCTTACGATTAATCTTTAAAATTTGTAATGACTAGTCTCGTCAAAATGGCGGCTTCTCGGAGTATATTGTACGCGAAACGAGTTAGGTCCAGATTTTTATTTTGTGATTTTTCTTTTTTGTTTGTTTCGTATACCTTACGATCAATCTTTAAAATTTGTAATAACTAGTCTCGTCAAAATGGCGGCTTCTCGGAGAATATTGTACGCGAAACGGAGCTGAAACGAGTTAGGTTCAGATTTTAATTTTGTGTTTCTTTTTTTTTTGTTTTGTATACCTTACGATTAATCTTTAAAATTTGTAATAACTAGTGTCGTCAAAATGGCGGCTTCTCGGAGAATATTGTACGCGAAAGGAAGCCAAAACAAGTAATTTCCGATGGATCACGTGAGTCGATCGAGCTTACGGATACTTTGAAAGAGCGAGAAGGAGAAAGAGGCTCTATCGGTTGGCTAGATTGGAAAATAAATCGACGCTAGGCGGGATAAAACCACGGCTCGTGGCTTGATGAATCACGAACGAGAAACGTCGTGATGCGGCGGGATTTAAAACGAGAAATAAATTGGAATAAGCTGAGCTAAGCAGCCGTAATAACAGCTCCAGTAACGAGAAATCTCTCGTAAAACTGTTCTCGCGGGTTCTAAAGAAGAAACCATCCAGCAGCAAATTGAAACGAATCGAAAATAAAATCTTACGACGACTCGAGCAACAAATTAAACGAACCTCTGAATCTTTGATTAAAAATATCTCTTTTAAACGTTTAAATTATTAATATCGAAGTAAATACCCTGTGTAAACCGTTAGAAATGAATTTCTTAGAATTCAATTTATATTTAAATTTGAATTTAATGAATTTCAAAAGTCCCAGATCCCTTCAAGTATCACAAATAATCTCTGACTGGCCATTTTTCCTCGACTCTCTGTGGCGCCATCTCCCGTACTCGCCACCAGAGGGCCACGCTCTTGTCTCTCTCGCAAGCGTTCGACAGACCTTTCGTTTCTATACATATATACGCTCCTCGACCGACGAATTAAACGAGCCTTTGAATCTTTGATTAAAAATATCTCTTTTAAACGTTTAAATTATTAATATCGACGTAAACACCCTGTATAATATCTGAAAGAAGCTTCGATGAAGTTCGGTGGAAATTGTTAGAAATGAATTTCTTAGAATTGAATTTAAATTTAAATTTAATGAATTTCAAAAGTCTCAGATCCCTTCAAGTATCACAAATAAGCTCTGACTAGCCATTTTTTCTCGATTCTCTGTGGCGCCATCTCCCGTACTCGCCGCTAGAGGGCTACGCTCTTGTCTCTCTCGCAAGCGTTCGACCAACCACTCAATTGTTATATCATACAAAGTATTCGACCACACCTGGGAAAAATTTAAATGGGAGATTCTAGAAAATCAAGAATATTTCATGATCGAGGTTTTGTCAAAAAGTTAACCTTCCGTTCCTACACATATATACGCTCCTCGATCGATCATCCAACATCCCAACATGCTAGGAAGCCTTATTGACTATTCCAGTAAGTTTTCTATTTTCTCACGATTTCGTTCGAACAACAATAGCTCACCTGGACCATGGTGACGAAGTACACGTCGCTCCTGGCCAGCATTTCCTCGATGAACTTGATGAGCTCCTCCCTGTACTCCTTCTTGCTCTTCAACCAGGACGCGTGGAAGTGGAGACCAAGCGGCGCCCTGTTGCTGTTGAAATGCCTGTTGAAGTTGTGCCTGAGCAGCCTGCCGAACTGCTCGCCGGACTGTATGTTGGAACAGGAGTCCACCATGTGGCAACCGGGTAGGGACTCGTCGAAGGTCGGGTCGTCCCTTCTGTCCAGCTCGTTCATCACCATCTCCCAGACCGGATGCGACCTGGACGGGCAGTTACCGCCATTGCCGTTGCACTTGTGTGGCATCCTGAAGTACAGAGTGTACGGCCAGATGGGCACACGGCCCAGAGACGCGGTGATGGACGCGTCGTAGACGAAGAACTGGTCGGCCATCATCTCGAACTGCTTGTTACCGCCGACACGCAGATAAGGTGCCCTCATACCTGTTAGCGACGACTTATTTTTAAGGGATCTCGAGGGCAATTAGCTCGACGATATTTCGTTTAAACGATTTATGATAGGGACTTAAAAGGGATGGTTGCAAGGACACGATCCAGATGCCCGTCGATGGCTGGTGACTCGAAGTCACTCAGCTATCGGGCGTCATAGGATTGCTCGTTGAAAGGAAACGTATGTTAGAAAAAGGCAAAAGACGTTGTCTTGCTTTAAAGAACAGGAACTCTGTTCCTTGAGGATCTGGCCACGGAGCGGGGAAGACAAGGGTGCCTTCTGGTAAGAGGACCAAGCTTCTAGAGTTGTTCATGCAAAATATCTAACATACCGATGATGGAACCGTCGGTGATGTTGGCGAACCTCTCGATGATCAGTCTGGCGCCAGCCATCTCCGCCAGCCAGTCGTCGTAGCTGCCCTGGGTCCAGTACTGGGGATCGTCCTTGTGGGTCAGGGAGAACACGGAGATCTCGTGACCGCGTCGATGTAGATCCTGGACCGCCGAGTAGTTGGTGTACTTGTGGGAGACGAAGAAGGTGCCCCTGATCTGGCAACCGTTCGGGTTCTGACGTTGACCGTTGAAGATGTCCTCGTAGAGGTCGATGTTGTCGACGTTCACGGCCCCGTTGAAGGTGATCGTGATCATCTGGGGCACCTGGGAGGGCTCGATGTTCCCGGGGATCCTGGTACCGTCCGCGGAACAGTAGCAGTCTGGGAGGGCGCATTGGGTGGGGTCGCAATCCGGCGCGCGGTTAGGGTCAGTCTCCACGGCTGTAACGGGAGGAAACCATAAGTTATTTAATTGGAGCGATGTTTCAAGGATCAGATTACTGGTACTTGAGCTAGGGTTGGCTAAGAGACTGGGTTTTGGTATGTGCAACTTGGATGACTGAGGATATCTCAAAATTTTGATTTGGATCAGTTTTGGTGACTGCAATAGGTGATGATGATGAGTAGACTGCGGATGTTTATGCATTTATGGGGAATTTTAATCCTCGAAAATTACAGAATGCATTCAATATGCAAAAATATAAGAAATACTTAAAGTAAGATACGAATTATTATATTTAGTATTATATTTATATTTTATTAATTCTATTAATAAAAATGTGAATTTGCATGAAGATCCACAGTCTAATGATGAGTTACTTGCTAGTTTACAGATCTAGATAGACACTGTTTGGGCTGGATCACTAGCAAAGTCACTCGATGATCAAGAATCTTTTGTAAGTCAAGGTCTGGATTTTGACCAATTACCCACGGTAGTAGTAGTGGGGGAGAGACAGTAGTAGTTCAGTGGTTTGTAGGTCAAGGTTAGTGACGTTATGTACAGTCTGACTCGAATGATGGGCTTTGATACTCGTAATTGAGTTTGGTGGTTCGTGGGTCTAGAATTCTGTAACTTCACGATTTTGGGGCAAATTAGAGGACCGAGATTCGACATTTGCAATACGATTATTCTTTAAACTCAACACCTGTACAAAAATCGGAGAAAAACAACATCAAATTACACGAGAAAGCTCAATGGAATTCGTCTTAAAACTTCACGATTTTGGGGCAAATTAGAGGACCGAGATTCGACATTTGCAATACGATTATTCTTTAAACTCAACATCTGTACAAAAATCGGAGAAAAACAACATCAAATTACACGAGAAAGCTCCAATAGAATTCGTTTGAAAACTACAGCTGCGCCATCTACCGCGAATTTTCAAAAATTGGCGCGTAACACTCGCGGGAAATGTAACCATCGAAATCGCAACAAACGAGTGTGTGTGTTTTTTAACACATTACCGACCGGTAGCCTGTTAATCGACTTTTTTACCGGCCAACACTTACCGACCGATAGCCTATTAATCAACTGTTTTATCGGTCGACGTTTATCGACCGATAGCCGATTAATCAACCGCTACCGGTCGGTAAAGTGCTAACACGTTGACTGCCAGACCAAAACTATACAATTTTTTACGGGATCAAAACTTTTTAGACAATTGTAAACTGTATAAGTTAAAATTTATCTCAGCACTTATTTTTGTAACCTCACTATAATTCATAAATCCTATTCAAATTTCAACTTTTACATATTATCTTGAGAATTAATTGTTCTAGTTCCATAGTAAAAAATTCTGTCACCCATATGTGGATGACGTGGTACTTGTTTCCATAACTTCAGTAAAATTTATGAAGCCTATTGAAATTTATTTTCTTTTACATTCTATCTTGAGAATTAATTGTTCTAATTCCATAGTAAAAAATCCTGTCACTGTTAAGAAAAAGGACGAGATTATTTCTCAGGCACTGGACACATGAACTTTCATTGCCCGCTGAGAATGTTCGAGTTACAAATAATTGTTTCTGTCTCGAATGTTTCGTTGCGACGAGCGACCGTATGGTTTGTGTAAAGCTATATATTGCTCTTATATAAATTCATATTTTGTTCGTTCGTGTCCATGTTTATTATTTTATATCCTGACCTCATCAACAGTCACCCATATGTGGATGACGTGGCAGTCAAAGTTGTTAATAATCCCAAAGGTGTTTGCCAAATACTAAACCGACGAGATGGAAATTAGACTTGGAACGGTTGTTCAGATGTTATGGCGTAGGATGACGAAGTTCTAGAGATACTTACTGCATGCATTCTCGTCGGATTCGTCCTTGCAGTCCGGTTTACCGTTGCAGAAGAGCTCCTTGTCGACGCATTCGCCGTTACCGCACGATAGTTTCCCTTCGGGGCAGACCGGTTCGTCGGTCCTCAGGATGGGCAAGACCTTACGTGGCTCTGCAAACGTAATCCTCGTTAACGGGCCGGTTCCCGCGGCCTTACGGCCTCGATGTGGCAACTGATACTACTGGGCCCATTCGACGTTTACCCACAGCTCGCAGAACAGGGCCCGAATTCTACTTTTACCTCGCCAAATTTTATGTACAGAGATCGATACACACAGCGGCGCAGGAACCAACTACTCGGACCAATATTCTGGCCGAATCGCGCCACTGGGACGAAAAACCCAAAAAACTATACTTTTATACCTTGAAAAGTCGCTAAAAATATTTCGAGAATTGTCATAACTAAACTGCGGATCTTTATGCAAATTCATGCTTTTATTAATAGAATTAATGAAATAGAAGCTTTGCAGAGGGTTCTCTCAACCCCTAAATATAATAATTCGTATCTTACTTTAAGTATTTCTTATATTTTTGCATATTGAATGAATTTTGTAGTATTTTTATAAACATCCGCAGTCTAGTCATAACCTTACGATTTTAAAAACACTTTGTCAATCCTATTTTTATGAAATTATTAGCGATTAAGGGGGCCATTCTACCTTGCAGGCACGGAAAAATAGATGTTTCTTTGTGATTTTTTTTTGCGGGCTACTAAAGAGCGATTAATTTCAGGTTTTGTAGATACATTTATTATATATTTAGCTATATTTATGAATTTTTGCAACGCATAATATCTATCGATTACGCTGTTTTTGTTGATCAACGAACAACAGTTTTTACGAACGGCGTATGTGTAAGTTATTCGAAATTCAAAAACCAACGATATTTATAATATAGATGAGTGTGGTTATAGCATGAAAAAAACAAAAAATGGCAAAATGGCAGCTATTTTACGAAAAAATACTGAATATTTTCATATATTCGATTGGTTTTTTGTTAATAAAAGAAAAAGTATTGCATATATCGCAACTATCCTAGTTCGTGCTATAGGGAGAACGGTTCTAAAGATACTGTATAAATTTCATATTGATATCTTGAATAGTTTTCTCGTTATCACATAAAAACAGCTTTAAAGTTTCACCTGTTCAGTTGTTATACCTTGCGCGCGGTACATTTCAGCAGACTATAACTTCGTTAGTTTTCCAAATTTCAATTTAATATTTGGTAGATATATTGTCAAGACTACATACTAAAAGACAATTCAAAAAAAATTCAATTTTTTTGATCCCACAAAGTAGGGAAACAGCTTTAAAGTTTCACGTCAAATTTCAATTTAATATTTGGTAGATATAAAAAAAACATTTGATTTTTTAAATCCCACAAGGTAGAAAAAAGGCCCCTTAAATTGTGAAGTTTGAAATGATTTAACAACTTCGACCGTTCTATTACTAACGAAAACACGAAACCTGCGTTTGATAAGAACAAGATGGCGTCAGGAAGTGTCGTGATCGTCCCAATGGCGTGATCTGAGGCGATAATACAATTGTTAACCCTTTGTGGACGGTCTCTGAGACGATTATCAGCGATGTATTACTATAATAATTCGTGACTACTATATTCAAAGGGTTAAAGTTGCTACTGTGCTGAATTAATTGTTCACCCAAGTCCAAAGCTACGGGGGTACCTCGCCAACTCTAGTATTAAGTATATCGAACTAATTACGTCTTCTAGGACGAGTTCTGTGTAGTCTAATATGTACACGCGTAAACTTTATATACATGTACGTGCGTGAAACTCGTTCGACGCCTTCACGATTGTCGAAGCTGACATATAATTATACTACATTACACTATTATTAAAACATCGATACTTTTTAAACTTGAAGATCGATTCTGTCTAATAAATGGGTGTTTTCTTTAAATAATTAACTATTACCGAAACATCGATACTTTTTAAACTTGAAGATCGATTCTGTCTAATAAATGGGTGTATTCTTTAAATAAAAATTATTTTGTTTCATTCGCCATTGGATCAGCGACTTGTTATCAGTCGTGAAAGCGCGAACGCGTGTTCGTATCGTTTCCATTCTACGTTCCTACGCCACTGTCTCCAAGTCACTTTGTCGTTCGACGAGCAGTACTTTCGTATCTTTCCCCATCTCTCGAGAACATATTTCTCCGTTTCGCGAGGCCCCGCGAGGATGCAAACAGACCAGCGATGGGAGCGAACAGAAGCCCCCTGTGGAGCTTCATCGATCCATTGGCGTCTCCTCTCGAGATCCCCGACCGGAGGAAAACGAACAGCGAAACGCTGAGTCGAATCGACCTTGAAAGCCCCGCTCCAGGGGTGGAATCGGCGTTTTCCACGGACTCCCCCTGGCCGAGAAACCTTCAAGATCGTTAAACGCGTCGGAATTCGAGAGGGAACGTGCGATCGAGGATCGAGGATCGATATGCCCGTCGCGAGGAGAGAGGCGCGGGTTGTTTCGTTGGCTCGCAGCGATTCGCACGCACGGTGAACCCGTTCTGGAGACACTCAGGCGTGTTGTAAATGAGAGAACAGAGACACATGGATGCAGACAGCGATGGGCGTTTAGAAAATGGCGAAAATACAGAGGCGGCGGAGAAGAGGGAGGCGATTTTAGATGATTTCACGCGTGGATCACGTTCCATTGCTCCGATTTAATTCTTAAAGACTTTATCCGTTAAATAAATATCAAACATATCGTGTGTGTTATTTCTTGCCATTCGAGTTGCTATACATGGTGTCTCACCCGATTTTGACATCTCGATTTTCTCGCTATTGTTACTCGTAACAAAAAACGTTTCAGCGGAGGCTTGAATGGTATCGAGTGGAGCATATTTCGTTGTTATTAGTTTTTTCGTGAGTGGACCCGTAAAGGTCATACAAAGGTCAACTTTGTTTTTTTAAATGGAACGAGGTATTTTTTAATACATCGATCGATTCGGCTGGACAATCGTTATAAAAAAGTACTAACTATGTAACGTCGAGAAATTAGTAGTTCAGGAGATATTTCAATTTAAATAATTCTAAAACGCCATTACTGTTGTACTAAGACGTTAGCGTTTATTTGCGTAAACCAGTACATTACCGTGATGTAAATTAACACAAAGTGTTAATCGAGAACCAATATTGCTCGTTTATAATTTTAAAACAGTTTCAGATTCGCGAGCATTTCGATACGTTTTATATTTTTCGCTAAAAACGTTCAATTTTATACGTAACCTTCTACGGCTGTAATACATACCCAGAACAACTTTCACGAATCGCATGAAATATACATCCACTCAATACTCTGAATTACTCCAACGAGAACAATACGATATTTCGAGACAATTAAATTTCATATTTTATATTATTTATGAATTTCGTTCAGTGTGATTTAGAGGTCAAGTGCCTTCGATTCTATATTTCAAATCGGAGCAATAAATTTCACAGATTCGACAGATCCCTGCAAGTATTCTTTGACGACAGAAAATAATCATTTAAAACTTTTTCTGGACAATAAAATACAAAAAACTGAAAGAAATAGTGAATTTTTTCCTATCGTAAAAGGATACTTTCTCGAGTCTGTCGAATTTACCCGCTGATTGGGGGGGGGAAGAGAGTCAAGAAATGCTAATTTTGTAAGAGAGCACGATTCCGACGACAGTGAGAAAAATGTCGGAGATGGTGATGAAAAGCCTCGAAAGATGCGCCAACGAGGACAAGATGAGTGACCCCCCCGAAGGAAGAGCGTCTCAGCGCGATAGAAAATTAATGATCGATCCGTGGGGGGTGGTGGGGGGGATTCGAGCGGCGACGGAGAAACGAGCCTTGGCTGAATAACGAGAAGTTCTCGTAAGGAGGCCAGATCGTCGAAGCGAAACCGATCTGGATGCAAAGGTAGAGCGTGACAGAGACAGAGACAGAGACAGAGACAGAGACAGAGAGAAAAGGTAGAAAAAGTGACAGACAGCGAGACAGAGTATTACAAATAAAAAAAGTAGGAAAAAAATAAAATAAATGAAAGAAAATCGTGTACGTGTGTGGTAAAAATAATGGCGTACGGAGTATGAGCGAGTGAATTTTATCAAGCTAAAAAGCGATTGCGTGGCGGCGTCATAAACACGATACCCGTTCGTTAAAACCTGGAGATTGTGTTTCCCCAGGAAAGTTCCTTTCGTCGTTCGGAATAAATTTTTGCAAGATGGCGTAACGAGTCGTGGCCTTTAATTATCGAGCTTCTTTTTCCTTTAATCCTTGTTCGACGACTTTTGTTTCGATATTTTCGATCAATTATCCGCGGAAGGGGGAAGAAAATTGTAGAATCAGTTCTTTCTCGCGTACTATTTCCAGCGCGAAAATTATGCACCCGAGGGGTTAATAAATCAGTATTCAAATATTGACCCTCTGACCGCGGGCCAACGCGGGAACCGAGTTCTGAAATTTTAATCAATTCCCGCGGGGAATGCTGTTATTGCTCTCGTTTGTCGCGGTGTATTTTTTCCCCTCGTATTTTTCCCGTTTTTAATCAGCGAAACCCTATGCACCCTACGCAAACTTCAAAGGGGAAATAAAATTTTAAATATCGCAAGATAAGTACTAATATTTTTGTACAGAAAAGATAATATCTTTTTCATAATTTTTTATCTCAGCGCAAAGTTCATAAAGTTTCATTTGATTTTGTAACTCTAAACTATCTAAAACTGGACTAGATTTCCTATTCTTATATTAACAAGTTTAAAATATACCCCGCGATAATTTATTTTTCAGAGCAATTTCAATTTTAAATAAAAATTCCCAGAGCCTAGGGACGCGTGAAATTAATTCGAAGCTCTGCATTTTCCGTATTAAAATTCATCGATCAGTTAACCTCTGCGGATGCAAATAATTGCATAAGTAATTGTTGGAAATAAATAGTCATGAGTTACAAAATTAAAACTAATTTTAACTTATCTTTGATATTCGCGGAGAACTGAATCGATTTATTATAAATTTGAAGCTAATCGAAGATGGCGGACAATCGACCCGCTTCCCAGCATCCCCCCGGTCGATAGAATCGATCGAGAGTCGTGTTTCTCAACGTCCCGTTACGACGCTGGCACGCAATCGCGTCCCGAAAGCAATTTTCCCAACAAGCCTCTCGTTAACGAACAGCAGCGAGTCTCGCGGCGTGGAAAGTGCGTATAATATTTTCACGGTTGTTAGTCGAGCAAGGTGAATCGATAGAGTTGCGTGAACTGGCGGCAGGAAGAGGGCATCGAGGTGAGTACGAAGAAACTAGGTTAAAATAAACTCGAGACCGACCGAGCGCTCCGAGCTTCTCGTCTCCGCGCGTCGCGCTGCACTTTCGCTCAAAATCGAAACCAGTCTTTCGGCGCCGCGTATCGAAAGTGGCCAGACCGGAGATTACAAGCGTCTCGAAAGCGACGCACGCGGTACAGTATCGTTCATAATTATTCCAACGGCCGTGTCAGGTAAAAAAACCGACTCTCTCGTGCCAACGATTCTCGCTAATTGACTTCTTCGAGCGAGTTTCGCAACTTCGAAACGCGTCGATTCAAAGCGTACCCGTAAAAACAACCGCGACACGTTAAAAATATCGATATTAAAATGTCGCGAGCATATATGGTACTCGTTATCCGCGTGGCGCTCGTTATCGGTAATCGGTATTGCAGAAACTTGTTCCCCGAGATGGGAATAAATTTTTTTTTAATTATACCGGGTGTCTCGGAATCGCAGACGCGAACTTTCAGCGTGTGACTCGAGCATTGTTTATTTATTTAATAAATATAAATTGTTAAATTTATTTAGAAACTATCACGATCTAAAGTTTCGGAATAAATATTACAACTGAAAGGAAGACAAGATAAATGTGTCTAGAATTGTTCGAACTATTTTCAAATTATTTGAGATACAAAAGTGCATTAAAAAAAAATGATCGATGAATAGAAGTTCAGGGCGGTTTTGAAACGGATTATTATTCCACGTTTAGAAAGCCGCGATTTTCGTTCGACTAATTATGAACGTGGCCGCGATGCGGTGGATTTTCACTCGACGTTCTAACAGCGTAACGGTTAGGGCACCGTAACGGGGCGAAAAAGAAAATGTTACAAAGTCAAAAGCATTAGTTGCTCGCGTGCGTTTAGAAAGTACAAGGAAACCCATTTTAGATTCCAATGGAATAATGCAACGGTACTGGACGAAAGAGAACCGAAAGCTGAAAATTCCGATCCCCGGCTACGATGCGAGCTCGTTCCGCGAGGGGGCGCGACGAGACGAGAAGAATCGTGGTGGGGGGTGGATCTCGATGATACGGATAGTAGTGAGTTAGTAGAATTACGAACTGGTGCGTGCTACGTTGCGAGTCTACGAAGGAACTGGAGCTTCTCCGGGTCTCTCGGACCTGTTTCTAACCTCCTCGGACCGAGGACGAGAGATACAAGTCGAAAACAGCCGCTCTTTCACGCGAAACAATGCGTTTATACCTCGATTTCCAGGATCCCCAAATCGTTAACCCTTTGCGCTCCAAATTATATTTCAATTTTGTTACTAGCAACTAAAAAAGAAAATTTTATATTTTAATATAATATTTATATTATTATATTTCAATTCTTTTAGTTTTTAAGTGTTTTATTTGAAATTTACGTTAACTAAAAAATAAAGCAATTTAAACAAATTCAATTAAATATCTGCTTAATTTACACTGATGTTGTATCTTGTAATTTTCTAGTGTATGATATCCCTTCTTCCTTCGGGTATTTTTCTGTTTGAGCAAACTGCACAAACCTTATGCATTTTTTCGGAATATACGAAAATGAAATTGAATTCTATTGGTTCGAATTTGAAAAAATGTCGAGCGGGACTCGACAGAGGAGCACCTGACATAAGAACTAATTGTCGAGTCACATTCGACGTATGAGTGCAAAGGGTTAAATTCTAGAACAAGAAAATAATAATAGACTCTCAAATAAAAAGGTAGAAAATCATCATTTCACCACGAATCGAATAAGAAAATAATAATGAACCCAGACTTAACCACGAATAAAATAAGATAACAGTAAACTCTCAAAAAGCTTCTGTTTATTAGGACGATTCGTTTTTTTTTTATTTTGAAATAATAAACGCATTTTCGAGTGGAAAGAGGGGCGGAGAGGCGGAGCTAGAAGTCCCCAGTTCACCCTGTTCGATCGACTTACTCTCGAGCTTGTCACAGTTGGTGACTTTGCCCTTCCAGTCGCAGGTCTGTTTGTCCAAGTCAAAGGCCAGTCCGCTGGGGCACGTGATTTGCTTCAGGCCGGACTTCGTGCACCTGTTCGAGCGGGACAGAAAGAAAACGGGGCGTTTTTCAGTCAGATGGTCTCTGTGAACGATGCTTACTCTCGAGCTGGTCGCAGTTCTTCACGTTGGTCTTCCAGTCGCACGTCTGCCTCTCGATGTCGAACGCCAGGCCCGTCGGGCATCGCACTGTGGCCAACCTGGTCACGCCGATCTCCGTCGCTTTGTCGCATCTGTGGTTTCATTCGTTTCGATTTTTGTCTCGATCGAGATTCTCGTTTCGAAGGTTCGCGAGAGATACTTGAATTTTTATTTCGATGGGAATCGATAGAAATTGCTATCCGGAGTGTCCCAGGGGAAATGCAAGGTTCTGTTGAAGTAACTAGGCTGGGCTATATGTATAGGTGAATTTTGAAGATTTGATTTTGATCAAATTTTTGGGGTGCAGTAAAATTCCGATTATTTGGCATATTCAGGACCAAGGTAATGATGGTAAATTAAATAGTGATGGGGGTAATTATCAACAGAAATGAATTGAAGAGGAAATGAGACAGAAAATGAAATTATGGGAACATTTTTGGTTACAGGTTATATTTTCGGTAATGAATTTTTTTCTCGAAAATGGTTAGGATTTGGGGGGTATGTCTATTCACCAAAAATGATTCTAACTGGCCCTTGCAACCAAAAATATTTTTTTCAGGACGATTTGAAATTTTTTAATTTTGTCGAAAATATCACATCTAATCGAATTTTTTACTCGAAATTGGGTAGGAATTCAGAGGTATGTCTATTCACCAAAAATGATTGTAATTAATCCCTGCTACTAAAAATAATTTTTCCAGAACGATTTGAAATTTTTTAATTTTGTCGAAAAATTTCACACCTTCTCGAATTTTTTTCTTGAAAATGTGCAAGATTTCGGTGGTATGTCTAATGACCAAAAATGATTGTAATTGAACCTAGCAACCAAAAATAATTTTTCCAGAACGATTTGAAATTTTTTAATTTTGTCGAAAAATTTCACACCTTCTCGAATTTTTTTCTTGAAAGTGGGTAGGATTTCGGGGGTATGTCTATTTACCAAAAATGATTGTAATTAACCCCTGCTACTAAAAATAATTTTTTTAGAATGATTTGAAATTTTTTAATTTTGTCGAAAAATTTCACGCCTTCTCGAATTGTTTTCTTGAAAATGTGCAAGATTTCGGTGGTATGTCTAATGACCAAAAATGATTGCAATTGAACCTAGCAACTAAAAATAATTTTTCCAGAACGATTTGAAATTTTTTAATTTTGTCGAAAAATTTCACACCTTCTCGAATTTTTTTCTTGAAAGTGGGTAAGAATTTGAGGGTATGTCTATTCACCAAAAATGATTGCAATTAACCCCTGCAATTAAAAATAATTTTTATAGATTGATTTGAAATTTTTTAATATTGTCGAAATTTTCACGTCTCTTCGAATTTTTTTCTCGAAAATGCGCAAAATTTCGGGGGTATGTCTAATGATCAAAAATTATTGTAATTGGCCTTTATAACTAAAAATATTTTTTTCAGAACGATTTGAAATTTTTTTTTTCACCGAAAAATTCAGGCACCTACCCCGTGTCGATTTTTCTTAGAAATTGGTTTTTAATTTTTAACAATTTTGTTCGACGCCCTACGGAAAAGTTTTCTAAAACATTTTTGTAGGTATCCAGGAGCTCCACTTCAGAAAAAAGTTTCATTGAAATGTAGTCACTATTGTAGGAGTTATCGCTGTTCGAAAATTGGACCATTTTTATGGGGGTTTTCTCGCTTTACAAGGTCAAGGAACGAGTTTTCGAATATTTTTGGAATTTCTACATATTCTTCACCAAAATATGCATTGTTTGCATTTTGAAACTTGAAAATCCTTCAATCCGTTCAGAAGTTATGACGTTTTAAAGATACACACGAAAACCATTTCAGGCTTCAGATTATATTTTCGGTAATGAATTTTTTTCTCGAAAATGGTTAGGATTTCGGGGGTACATGTATTCACCAAAAATGACTCTAATTGACCCTTGCTACCAAAAATATTTTTTCCAGAACGATTTGAAATTTTTTAATTTTGTCGAAAAATTTCACACCTATTCGAATTTTTTTCTCGAAAGTGGGTAGGAATTTGGGGGTATGTCTATTCACCAAAAATGATTGTAATTGACCCCTGCTACAAAAAATAATTTTTTTAGAATCATTTGAAATTTCTTAATTTTGTCGAAAATTTCACTTCTACTCGAATTTTTTTCTCGAAAGTGGGTAGGATTTGGGGGGTATGTCTAATGACCAAAAATGATTCTAATTAACCCCTACAACCAAAAATATTTTTTTCAGAACGAATTGAAATTTTTTTTTCCCCGAAAAATTTAGGCACCTACCCCCTATCGATTTTTCTTAAAAACTCATTTTTTATTCTTAATAAACACAGCATGGGTGATGTAGTGATACAATTTACTAATAAAAAATAAAATAAATAAAATTCCTACGTTTCATTCGTCAACTATTTAGCATCGAAGAAATAATTGGTGTAAATATACCGAATAATCGGATCTCTACTGTATATAGGATAGTTTCAGGTAATTTGGGTTATGAAAAAAATGTGCAACTGCAGAAATTTTCCTGTAAAAGTTAATTTATCACTAGTAACGTTGCTATAACTCAGATCTAGAGTCGCCCCGTTTAAAGTGAAAAGGAAAGCGCGTGTTTAGATTGAGATTTAAATTGTTCCATCGTAACTGGTACTTAATTAACGATTAACGATGTGACTAGTTCGATGGCCTGTCCCCATTAGCCCGTGTTTTCAGTAAACGGTGAATAAACGTGTTGCGTCAGAAATTGCGTCACACAAAGCGACTGAATTTCCGCGAGAGCATTCCTTTCGTCCTTATATTGCACGGTTTCGATCGCAGTGCTTCCTGTTTCTTGTTAAACAGTCGAGATTCACTATTAATAGACTCTTCGCGAAGTAAACATCCAAGGAAGGCAAGAAATTTATTCTTAACACTGGAACTACCAAACCAGTTAAAATGAGCGATAATTAATAAGTAATTTCTAATAAAACCTGTAAAAAATTTACTGAATGAGAATTTTTGGTAATTTACCGTAATTTTCTATGAGAGAATGAATAAACACTTATTTGCATTGCATTATACATTTCTTCAAGTACCTATCGTTTCAATTGCCTTGGAATAAATAAATTTGCTATAACTGTCGGTAGTTGTAGTATTAAACGAGCTAGTTTTTAAGAAAATACAGTAAACGCGACTCTGCTGGTTATTAAAAATGCTATTACAGAACCTAACCACGATTATAGAATCCCCAAACCACAATAGTAAAATCTAGCCTCCATTTCCTCCTTCCATTTAAGGGGCCATTCTACCTTGCAGGCACGAGAAATACATGTTTCTTTGTGATTTTTTTTTGCAGGCTATTAAAGAGCGATTAATTCCAGGTTTTGTAGATACATTTATTATATATTTAGCTATATTTACAAATTTTTGCAACGCATAATATCTATCGATTACGCTGTTTTTGTTGATCAACGAACAACAGTTTTAAGGAACGACGCCATGACTTCGTATGTGATATTTTGCAAATAAGTTATCCGAAATCCAAAAACCAACGATATTCTTAATGTAGATAAGTGTGGTTATAGCATGAGGATCTTTTCAAAAAAACAAAAAATGGCAAAATGGCATTTTACGAAAAAATACTGAATATTTTCATATATTCGGTTGCCTTTTTGTTAATAAAAGAAAAAGTATTGCAGATATCGCAATTATCCTAGTTCATGCTACAGGGAGACCAGTTCTAAAGATACTGTATTAATTTCATGTTGATATCTCGAATAGTTTTCTCGTTATCACATACGCAGTGCCGAGAAATGCAATTTCGAGAAAAACAGCTTTAAAGTTTCACGTTCAGTGAGGCTATAATTTCCTCAGTTTTTCAAATTTCAATTTAATATTTGGTAGATATATTTTCGTGACTACATACCAAAAGACAAAGCAATAAAAATTCAATTTTTTAAATCCCACAAAATAGAAAAACAACTTTAAGTTCCACGTCCAATTGTTATACCTGCGCGCGGTACATTTCAGCAGGCTATAACTTCGTCAGTTTTTCAAATTTCAATTTAATATTTGGTAGACATATTTTCGAGACTACATACCAAAAGACAATGCAAAAAAAATTCAATTTTTTAAATCTCACAAGGTAGAAAGGCTCCTTAAGAAAGAAACACTCATTTGCGAGTATTTTTTATCAGTTTAAATAGTAACTGTATCGCGTTACAGTTAAAAAGCGTTTATGAATAATTGAACAATCTCTAACGGTTCTCTCGAACCGATCAAACGGCTGGCAAAGCGTTTGGACAGCATTCTGCAGGATCTCGAAGCAACGTTCCTGTTTCCGTGGACGTTTCTGCGTCCTTGAGGACGGAAATACTCGGTTCGTTCGAGTGACTCAGGACACCGGGACCCGTCGTTGTTGGAAGGCGAGTCCTGTATCCGGTATCAGGCTCGCCTTGAACCTTCCAACGCGGAATTCGATCGCAGAAGGAACCGTAGGAATTCGCTTTTCAATCCTCGTTCGAAGCAAATCGCGATTTCACCGTTAATTTCTCACGCAGACACTGTGCTTTACTTTTACACGCCACACGGAACCAATTCAAACTCAATTCGAGACGCCAAAACCTGTCGAGTGGCGTTTTAAATCGAGGAAATGCGATTTTTTTATCTTTTTCTTGTCGATCAATTTTTTTGGGGCAAGAATGGGCAAACTAGCTTTTATCGTCACTATAATAATTCAAAGAAGACATAGTCCTTACGAATCTCTTGATGTTTATACTGTGTGAGTATTTTAATTTACAAATTTTGTTACAAAAGTTTCTATTTTATATTGGAAAGTAATGTGGTTTAGGTTTCGTGGAAATATGAGTTTTCTCGATGAAAATGGCGGACAGTAAAGCTCGAGCAGACTATGGATTCTCTAAATTATTACTATAACCCTCAAGTGGACTCTCAATCTCAACTGAATTATTGTACTTAATGTTGATTTTTATCAAATTAATAAAAGTAAATGGGACATGAATTTTAAAGCATTTAAAAAATAATGAATTAGTGGAGGATTGCATAAATTTTCACAATGATACACTTAAGGGGTTGAAAGTAGTGATTTTAACGGTGGAGCTTAATTTTAGTTCTTTTTTTTGACGAAAGTAACGTGTTTTAGGTTTCGTGGAAATATGAGTTTTCTCGCTGAAAATGGCGGACAGTAAAGCTCGAGCAGACTATGGATTCTCTAAATTATTACTATAACCCTCAAGTGGACTCTCAATCTCAACTGAATTATTGTACTTAATGTTGATTTTTATCAAATTAATAAAAGTAAATGGAACATGAATTTTAAAGCATTTAAAAAATAATGAATTAGTGGAGGATTGCATAAATTTTCACAATGATACACTTAAGGGGTTGAAAGTAGTGATTTTAACGGTGGAGCTTAATTTTAGTTCTTTTTTTTGACGAAAGTAACGTGTTTTAGGTTTCGTGGAAATATGAGTTTTCTCGCTGAAAATGGCGGACAGTAAAGCTCGAGCAGACTATGGATTCTCTAAATTATTACTATAACCCTCAAGTGGACTCTCAATCTCAACTGAATTATTGTACTTAATGTTGATTTTTATCAAATTAATAAAAGTAAATGGAACATGAATTTTAAAGCATTTAAAAAATAATGAATTAGTGGAGGATTGCATAAATTTTCACAATGATACACTTAAGGGGTTGAAAGTAGTGATTTTAACGGTGGAGCTTAATTTTAGTTCTTTTTTTTGACGAAAGTAACGTGTTTTAGGTTTCGTGGAAATATGAGTTTTCTCGCTGAAAATGGCGGACAGTAAAGCTCGAGCAGACTATGGATTCTCTAAATTATTACTATAACCCTCAAGTGGACTCTCAATCTCAACTGAATTATTGTACTTAATGTTGATTTTTATCAAATTAATAAAAGTAAATGGGACATGAATTTTAAAGCATTTAAAAAATAATGAATTAGTGGAGGATTGCATAAATTTTCACAATGATACACTTAAGAGGTTGAAAGTAGTGATTTTAACGGTGGAGCTTAATTTTAGTTCTTTTTTTTTGACGAAAGTAACGTGTTTTAGGTTTCGTGGAAATATGAGTTCTCTCGCTGAAAATGGCGGACAGTAAAGCTCGAGCAGACTATGGATTCTCTAAATTATTACTATAACCCTCAAGTGGACTCTCAATCTCAACTGAATTATTGTACTTAATGTTGATTTTTATCAAATTAATAAAAGTAAATGGAACATGAATTTTAAAGCATTTAAAAAATAATGAATTAGTGGAGGATTGCATAAATTTTCACAATGATACACTTAAGGGGTTGAAAGTAGTGATTTTAACGGTGGAGCTTAATTTTAGTTCTTTTTTTTGACGAAAGTAACGTGTTTTAGGTTTCGTGGAAATATGAGTTTTCTCGCTGAAAATGGCGGACAGTAAAGCTCGAGCAGACTATGGATTCTCTAAATTATTACTATAACCCTCAAGTGGACTCTCAATCTCAACTGAATTATTGTACTTAATGTTGATTTTTATCAAATTAATAAAAGTAAATGGGACATGAATTTTAAAGCATTTAAAAAATAATGAATTAGTGGAGGATTGCATAAATTTTCACAATGATACACTTAAGAGGTTGAAAGTAGTGATTTTAACGGTGGAGCTTAATTTTAGTTCTTTTTTTTTGACGAAAGTAACGTGTTTTAGGTTTCGTGGAAATATGAGTTCTCTCGCTGAAAATGGCGGACAGTAAAGCTCGAGCAGACTATGGATTCTCTAAATTATTACTATAACCCTCAAGTGGACTCTCAATCTCAACTGAATTATTGTACTTAATGTTGATTTTTATCAAATTAATAAAAGTAAATGGGACATGAATTTTAAAGCATTTAAAAAATAGTGAATTAATGGAGGATTGCATAAATTTTCACAATGATACACTTAAGGGGTTGAAAGTAGTGATTTTAACGGTGGAGCTTAATTTTAGTTCTTTTTTTTTGACGAAAGTAACGTGTTTTAGGTTTCGTGGAAATATGAGTTTTCTCGCTGAAAATGGCGGACAGTAAAGCTCGAGCAGACTATGGATTCTCTAAATTATTACTATAACCCTCAAGTGGACTCTCAATCTCAACTGAATTATTGTACTTAATGTTGATTTTTATCAAATTAATAAAAGTAAATGGGACATGAATTTTAAAGCATTTAAAAAATAATGAATTAGTGGAGGATTGCATAAATTTTCACAATGATACACTTAAGGGGTTGAAAGTAGTGATTTTAACGGTGGAGCTTAATTTTAGTTCTTTTTTTTTGACGAAAGTAACGTGTTTTAGGTTTCGTGGAAATATGAGTTTTCTCGCTAAAAATGGCGGACAGTAAAGCTCGAGCAGACTATGGATTCTCTAAATTATTACTATAACCCTCAAGTGGACTCTCAATCTCAACTGAATTATTGTACTTAATGTTGATTTTTATCAAATTAATAAAAGTAAATGGGACATGAATTTTAAAGCATTTAAAAAATAGTAAATTAATAGAGGATTGCATACATTTTCACAATGATTCACTTTAGGAGTTAAAAGTAGTGATTTTAACGGTGGAGGTTGATTTTAATTCTTGTTTTTGACGAAAGTATCGAGTTTTGTTTCACAATTTTCACGTTACGAATATAGCGAATGGTTGAAAGTTTACCTTACGACGTCGCGACAGTCTCCTTCGACGCTCAACCGGAAGTACTCGTCCCCAGGCCTGTCCTGGCACAATTCCTCAGCGTTCGCGTCGAGTCCATCGCCACCCTCGTCGTCTTGCGCTCTGACCACAGTTCCTGGAAAATCGACGAAATCAACGTTTGCGACACAATATTTCCCTATTTAATTGTTTCAACACTGGAACTACAATCATGGTACACTAGATACGCGAAGAAATGTATAATGCAATGGAATAAATAAATAATGTTTATTCATACTCTTGTAGAAAATACATTCGAGTCATTTTGACCACTTCCGGCAGTTCCAGTGTTAAATAATATTCCATGCGATTAGAAACAGTGGCATGAATTTCAGTTTGAAAAAAATCGCGCTAATATATTGCGTTCGTCGATGAAATTTCACAAAACGAACTCGAATGGACGAATGGTTCTTATCTGGAGGGAAGAAAGTGATCTCGGGAAGCAAAGAGACGCCCCACTCTTTCCCCATGTTTCCACCACTGTCAATTACGTACTTTCTATCACCGATTACGTAAAGGACTCTCAATTCACGAGCACAATCTCTAACGTGACCTCACAATCCATACTGGAATCCATATATCTCGAGACAAACATAGAATTCACCTCTCGATTCATTTAAAAGTAAAGTTAAAATCAACATTACGTAAAGGACTCTCAATTCACGAGCACAATCTCTAACGTGACCTCACAATCCATATATCTCGAGACAAATATAGAATTCACCTCTCGATTCATTTAAAACTAAAGTCAAAATTAACAACCCTGCAAGATCATTCACTCATTCCATTTCTAATCATATTTAATTAAATACCAAACAGTGGAAAATGAAGAATTCAAACAGAAGAGCTGACAAAACATCGCAAACCACATTTGAGAATTCCATCGTGAAGTCCCTCTCAATATTTAAAATTGAAAGTTGTAATTCTATTTTGTTATTTCGAATATTTTATCTAACATTGACATATAAATATATTTATCCATTAACACATTGACTGCCACGTCATCCACATATGGGTGACACGATCTTTCACTAACAAATTGAAACAATTAATTCTCAAGATTAGATGCGAAAGAAAATAAATCCAGATAGAATTCTTGAATTTTAGCGAGTCTGAAAATAAATTCAACAGCAAATGATAGGTATGCTAGTCTTCGGTTGTCTGAAGACAAAGTTTTCTTTTCGTGGACAATTTGAGGGGTTTGGTCTGCCAGTCAACGTGTTAAAGTAGCTTCTAAGTGAAAAAATCCAATCACCTTAAACAGACATCTTCGTTCCAATAAAGACTAAACAAATTAAACGGAACAAACTCTTAAGAAACTAAGAAACTAGGAAACTAAGAAAATAAGAAACTAAGATACTAAGAAACTAAGAAACTAAGAAACTAAGAAACTAAGAAACTAAGAAACTAGGAAACTAAGAAACTAAGAATCTAAGAAACTAAGAAACTAAGAAACTAAGAAACTATGAAACTAAGAAACTAAGAAACTAAGAAACTAAGAAACTAAGAAACTATGAAACTAAGAAACTAAGAAACTAGGTAACTAAGAAACTAAGAATCTAAGTAAACAAGAAACTAAGATACTGAGAAACAAACAAACTAAGAAACTAAGAAACTAAGAAACTATGAAACTAAGAAACTGAGAAACAAAGAAACTAAGAAACTATGAAACTAAGAAACTATGAAACTAAGAAACTAAGAAACTAAGAACAAACTATCCATCAGAATCCACGAAACCTCTTCGCTTTCTACGCTCGAAAGAATCGTTTCGTTGATCACTAGACTGCGGATGTTTATGCATTTATGGGAAATTTTAATCCTCAAAACACTACAGAATGCATTTAATATGCAAAAATATAAGAAATACTTAAAGTAAGATACGAATTATTATATATAGGAAGATTGAAACAATCATCTACAAAGCTCCCATTTTATTAATTCTATTAATAAAAATATGAATTTGCATAAAGATCCACAGTCTATTGATCACAAATCTTTAAAATTGCAACGTCTTCCTCAAAGCTTCGCGAAAGCCAACGTCGATCGATCGAGAATCGATGGAGGAACGGTTCGAGTCGATCTTCCAGCTTATTCCGCGTTTCTCGATGCCTGGAAGCGGCGAAAAGTGAAACGACGTGACATTTGAATAAAAAGGGCAGATTCGGACGCGCGGTAGACGGTCGTTTCGAGATTAGTCGTCGGAAAATGTCGCGATCGCTGGAAGCCACGATCCCGGGAGATCGTAAACCGAACACGCCGGGGTCGCTGAACCCCCGTAGAAGTAGAAAGTCTTGGAAATGTCAGGGCAACGCGGCGGGGGTGGGGAGGGAAGCGACAGAGCGGTTCTCCAAAGTAGGCTCCGGTCCCTCCTCGTCCCTCTTCGCCCTTTCGAAGAACATACTGTTCGAGGCTTCGATCCCCCTTCGTGGATCGTGATCGTGATCGTCGCTTCCGGACGAGCGTCCTTCGTGAAACATTTACGACGAAACTCTGGGATTATCCTTTGCAAGACGTTAGAACGTCGAAGAAATTTAAAGATTCTATTATTGTTGATCGATTGGAACTCGTTTAGAGTTTGGATAAACAATAGTTCGAGTGGTAAATAATTGCATATGATTTTGAAGGGAGGTTTTGACGCGATTAGCGTGGAATTGGAGCAGAAACTGTCACAGTGTCGTTACGCTGTCGCGGCCATTGATCGACGCGCCTCGCTACCAGGCGTTGAAGTCACCAGACTTTCGCGGCGGCCAGACGGAGTTCTCGTATCTTTTCTGCACTGTTTGAAGATACACTCGGGTTATTCGGTGATACGAAGAAACAGAAACTGGAACCTCCAACGAGCGTTGAGCGCGAATTATTTGAACATAGGAGAAACCGAGAACTGGAAAGTATTGTTTTCTATTTCAATCTGCTTTCTAATCCTGCTCGAACGAACGTTACCAAGGCTTGAGAATCGCGTAGAACCGGATCGCGGGAACGGAATCTCGCGAGAAAAGTTTTAAATATCGAGCACTCGTGGAGAATCCATAGAACGTCGAAAACAACTTTCACCGCTCGTAAACATTCGAAGCTCGATTATTCCTCTCGTTCTCGACTTTCGATCTCCCGGGAAAAACTTTCACTCGTGCCGTCAAAACAAATCCCTCGAAGATCATCGACGAGGAAACGTAAAATTGGAAATGATTAGAAGATTGTTACCCAAAGGTTTAAACGTTCTACGAAACTTGCGAAAGACAAAACGTGGAAAGCTCTGTTTGGAACGCCGTGATCGATATGTGAAATTTAAAATTTGAACTCGATGGAGACGCGTAATTCGCGAGAATGAAAGGATGGGAAGAGAGATAGTACTCACCGGCAAGCAGAAACAGTGATCCAAGCAGAAACAGGTACTTTGGCGACATGGTGAACGTCGTCGTCGCCGTCATCGTCGTCGTCGGGACAAAGAGCGTCTGGACAAGCCGCGCCCTCTCGCCCCTCTATATGTGCACCACCACTCCTTCCTCTTCGTCGGGGGGACTTTCACCATCTGGATGGTGCTGCCATCTGTTCCACGTCGCAGAACGGGCCCCGATACTTCCACCGAGAGGGGACCGTTCCACGAATTCCGCATCGTTTCTACGTTTCGTGTTTCCTCCTCGAGTAACCTGTCGTTTCCATTAGGTCTTCATGACTTTGACTTTGTCGGATCAGAGGAACAAACAGTCATCAATCATGCATACATATATATGTATAATTTTTAAATAAAATGGAGGAAAGATTGAATTCGTCGGATTTTGTATGGTTTATTTAAAGTATGATATTTATACAAAATTTGACAAATTTCAATCTTTTCTCCATTTTCACATCATATCATATCACATATGAATATAGTAGTATTAAATAAAATGGAGGAAAGATTGATATTCGTCGAATTTTGTATGGTTTATTTAAAGTATGATATATAAACATGGAAAATTTGACAAATTTCAATCTTTTCTCCATTTACACATCATATCATATCACATATGAATATAGTAGTATTAAATAAAATGGAGGAAAGACTGAAATTCATCGAATTTTGTATGGTTTCTGTGATTTATTTAAAATATGATATATATACATGGAAAATTTAACGAATTTCAATCTTTTCTCCATTTTCATATCATATCATATCACATATGAATATAGTAGTTTTAAATAAAATGGAGGGAAGATTGAAATTCGTCGAATTTTTTATGGTTTCTGTGGTCTATTTACAATATGATATATATTTATGAAAAATTTGACAAATTTCAATCTTTTTTCCGTTTTCACATCATATCATATCACATATGAATAGAGTAGTATTAAATAAAATGGAGGAAAGACTGAAATTCATCGAATTTTGTATGGTTTCTGTGATTTATTTAAAATATGATATATATACATGGAAAATTTAACGAATTTCAATCTTTTCTCCATTTTCATATCATATCATATCACATATGAATATAGTAGTTTTAAATAAAATGGAGGAAAGACTGAAATTCATCGAATTTTGCACGATTTCCGTGGTTTATTTAAAATATGGTATTTGTACATGGAAAATTTGACAAATTTCAATCTTTTCTCCATTTTCACATCATATCATATCACATATGAATATAGTAGCTTTAAATGAAATGGAGGGAAAATTGAAATTCGTCGAATTTTGCACGATTTCTGTCGTTTTTTAAAAATACGATATACAGGGTGTTCGGCCACCTCTAGCAAAAATTTTAATGAGCGTTAGTAGAGGCCAAAATAAGACGAAAATCAAGAATACCAATTTGTTGATGGAAGCTTCGTTAAAAAGTTATTAACGTTTAAAGTGCCGCCCTTACTGAATTTTTTTCTCGAAAATTCGCAAGATTTCGGGTATATGTCTATTCACCAAAAATGACTGTAATTGAACCCTACAACCGAAAATAATTTTTCCACAACGATTTGCAATTTTTTAATTTTCTCGAATAATTTCACACTTTCTCTATTTTTTTTCTCGAAAGTGGGCAGGATTTCGTGGGTATGTCTAATGACAAAAACTGATTGTAATTGACCCCCGCAACCGAAAATAATTTTTCCACAACGATTTGCAATTTTTTTTCTCCGTTGAAAAATTTAGGCACCTAATTGGATTTTCAGTAAGGAATTTTTTTCTCGAAAGTGCGTACGATTTCGGAGGTATGTGTAATGATAAAAAATGATTGTAATTGATCCCCGCAACCGAAAATAATTTTTTTAGAACGATTTGAAAAATTTTTTTTCGCCGAAAAATTTCAGCACCTACTCGATTTTTTTTCTCGAAAGTAGATAGGATTTCGGAGGTATGTGTACTCACCAAAAATGATTGCAGTTGACCCCCGCAACCGAAAATAATTTTTCCAGAATGATTTGAAATTTTTGAATTTAATTGTTAATAACTTTTTAACGAAGCTTCCATCAACAAATTAGTATTCTTGATTTTCGTCTTATTTTGGCCTCTACTATCGCTCATTAAAATTTTTGCTAGAGGTGGCCGAACACCCTGTATATACATGGAAAATTTGACAAATCTCAATCTTTTCTCCATTTTCACATCATATCATATCACATATGAGTATAGTAGCTTTAAATAAAATGGAGGAAAGACTGAAATTCATCGAATTTTGCACAGTTTCTGTGGTTTTTTAAAATATGGTATATATACATGGAAAATTTGACAAATTTCAATCTTTCACATCATATCATATCACATATGAATATAGCAGCTTTAAATAAAATGGAGGAAAAATTGAAATTCGTCGAATTTTTTATGGTTTCTATGGTCTATTTACAATATGATATATATTTATGAAAAATTTGACAAATTTCGATCTTTTCTCCATTTTCACATCATATCATATCACATATGAATACAGTAGTATTAAATAAAATGGAGAAAAGATTGAAATTCGTCGAATTTTGCACGGTTTCTGTGTTTCCTCGCCAAATAGCCTGTATTTTCCATTAGATCTCGATAGCTTCGACTTTGTGATCTTTCGTGATCTTTGATTTTGAGATCGAAGTACCAAAGAGTCGATGATGAGTAGACTGCGGATCTTTATGCAAATTCATATTTTTCTTAATAGAATTAATGAAATCACAGCTTTATAGAGGGTTGTCTCAATCCCTAAATATATTAATTCGTATCTTGGTTTAAGTATTCCTTATACTCTTGCATATTAAGTGCATTCTGTAGTGTTCTGAAAATTAATATTTCCCATAAATGCATAATCATCCGCAGTCTAATGATGAGTCTTAAATAAAATGGAGAAAAGATCGAAAGCTTATTTGAGCAAATCACGAGCAACAAGAATGTATTTTCTATGCTTCGAAAGCATGGTCAAATTGCCAAAAAATCGACAAGTAAGATGCTCGAAACGATGAACTTTCATCGTCGATTTTATGGTAGATCCGCCCCTGATTGGAAACAAATTCCGTGTCCCGAATCCCCGAGAGTTTCGTTCTACTTTCTTCGAATGCCTTGTTTTCTAGCTACGATTTCGTGAGAGCTTCTTGCCGGGATGCTTTTTCCATTCATTTGGAACAAATTAGACGATGGAGATATCTATACAAATTCTATTTAAAATTAAAAAGAAACCAAGTCAACAATCTTTAAATTTCAAAAAACATAAGATCGAATTACAAGAAACTGAAAAATAATCTCCGACGATTGGTACAATTAATAAAATTACTTACAGACGAGACAATAATAACCAAATAAAATTCCCATTTCGAAAATAATTTTTTGAAACAGTATGGAAAATAAAGTTGAGAAACAGAATTATTACAATACATTATACTCGCGTTTTGCCAACCTGAGCATTATAAAAAGAGACCATTATACGTGTTTTTCAATCGACGAGCGTGTGTCTATTCAACTATGAACGGGTAAGAATTTTGTTACAACATTCTAATTCGCACAGGTTGTTTTATTGTCCGGCGAGAATTGCTTCAAGAATAGATTTAGAACGTGCACGAGTAACGAAAACGATTTCCTCGCTCGAAGGGGTCTAAATAATTCCTATCTCTCTAACTCTACTTTGTATCGATCTAATTAGATAAGATCGCCGTCCATCTAAGTCTTTAGAAATATGCCGGCGAACAGTTCAGCGGAATCAATTAGTCCAGCTCGGTCGAAAGAGACACTGGAGCGGAAAAATGGCTGCAACTCGAGGTCGCCAAAGCCGATTAGGTCATGTGCTTGTAAGAGTACTTTTATTCTACGTCACTTTTACTGGAACAAATAATCCGCGCCATAGTCTTTGTCTTCCATTGTTCCTTGTTCCGATCTTTAGTTTTTTTCTTTCATCCTTCGACTTCGAATCGAAAACTATGCTTCCTCATCATAAATCTGTCTGAACGACAGGTTGAAATTTTTATATTTATGGACCCTCGATTCTCGAGTCAAGGTTAGGTTCACTTGACCTATAGTTATATCCTTAATGCTTTATAATTGGTTTTTTATTTTTTTTTTGCTGTGTTTCGAGTTTTTTATGCAAGTTTGGAGGATTAAAGACGTGTTATTATTTTTACTAGCAGAAATGCGACGCAAATAGCTCTCGTGACGTTCAAGGTCCGCGTTACGGGATCGTTCACTCTGCATCGAAGTGAAACCGCGCTTTATAGACCTTTTTTACGATCCTCCGTGAGCCAACGTTTGGAAACCAATCGACGAAAAAGCCGCTGGCACTCGTAAAATTCGCGAAGAAAGTACCGCTGACGACCTCCGTGAAAACTGCTTCGTAAAACTTTCGTCGCACAAGTAAACCTTGAACCTGAGCGTCCCTGTTTTCCTCAAATCATTCTTGGAAGGATAAATTTATTCGCAAACTTTTTTATTCATTTTTTCAATTCGACGATTCCAAATTCGAGGACTGATTGAAGCCATTTCAAAATGGAAGATCGAAGCCTCTTCACGGAGGATCTAAAATCTTTTTCCAATATTTTCTTCCACTTTGAAGTCCTTGGAAATGAAGTTTACAAGAAATCAAAACTGAGGAAATTCTTTTAAAGATAATTTATGCTCGTTTTATCGAATTATGGGCCACCGATTTACAAAACACGAGCTGACCGTAGTTTCGCGATTTCCCGAATCTCTGGAAAGTCTCTTTTCATCGCTCAGGTTACGAAACTTGTTGCGTTCCCGCGACGTCGTTATTCCAAGGATAAAGGGCCCGCTGACTGGCTCATAATTAGTCACGGGTCTTTTAAAAGCGCGTTAATTAAACCACCGCAACCGGACGGGGGCAAGAAAACGTGAAATTTTCTGTCCCGTCATTTTCTCTGCCTGACAACGCCATCAATAATTCATGGAATCGTTTCTTTTCCACCAAACTATACTCGAAACTGGGGAAAAATTCCCCTCTAAATTAACGCGAACAACGAAACGTAAACGACTGTTTATCACTTCTCACGTAGAAATAAAAATGGCGGGCATCGTGGACGTTCGAACTCCATTTTATCACAAAATCGTCACGCGATTTGGGCTCCTGTACAATTTTTGCAATTAAATTACAATTAAATAAAGAATTTGGAGCTCGTTCGATGATAAAATAAAAATATTTGACACGGAACGGATCAGAAATAAATAAATTTCACATTTTATTACAAAATCGTAAAAT